CACCCACCCCTCTCCGCCAGTAGGCACAATATTTACCACTCCATAAGCAAAAGATTCAGGTTGATTGACTTCTTGAGGTGATAATGGTGCGTCTGCATTCTTCAAGTATCGCTCATACTCCGGAGGCTCAAGTGTCAACACTTTCTCCATAGATTTACCCTACACATATATACCTTGATTAAAATCCTCGTTTTCCATCCATAGTCCTCCCTATGACTCAACTTACCATGCTGGATAATATGGTTTCCTCGACATCATAGCTCTTATCAGCATCAATACCATAGACACCATCCTTCCAATGCAAGAATATAGATGCTGGTGCACGGGTAGCACGCGTGTATTTGTTGGGCTAAGAATAGAAAGAAAACAACACCATCAGATTTGCCCCACTATAACCATCATCCTTTTTTTACCTCACTAAAATAGGCCCGAGAAAGAACAGACGTATCAGTGGGCTTCCCATTGGATAAAGCAAAATAGATTTGTGATAGCATTGCCGATACGGATGATGTAGAACCGACATATCGATGTTGATGATCCCGCGCTCGTTGAATGAGATACTGCAAAAGACAACGGTAAGTAAAAGTAGTCAACCATCACTGCCTCCTTTTGATTAATCCTACTTGCCTCATCTTGTGAAGGTGTGATGTAGGGTCCTATCGCGTCATAATCAAATTCGGCAGGCGGTGTGATGTTTTCCAAGAAGGGCGTAAAGTTGTATGTTTGAGTGCGAGGATCTTTGAGATAGTGAACGCCGGGACTAGAATGATAAAATGAATAAGTTCAATCGCTCACTTGTTGCTATCCAGCTATTCCTGTACTTACTTGAATAATACACGATCCAGGCCATGTGCAAGGGTGGGCGGTTGTGGTTTATCCTCGCCTTCTGGTTGAATCGCTGTACAAAGCCCAATTAACATCCTCTTATGCTTATATCCATCTCCTCATACTTACGCGTATAGCGTCGCCTGAAATTGATTTTGTGATACTTAGGTTCTTGTGGGGCTGCATGGAATTTGGCCAAGACATGTTTGACATCGGCACTTTGACTTGGTTGATGCTTCTTGATAACGATGGTGTCACTTTGCTATATCATCCAATCCACACAAATTCATCAACGAGATATCCTCCAAGATAGAAAATAGAAAGAAGATGATCACCTTTTTCCCCTGAAGATGTTCTGAAAACTGATTCATGATATGGTTGCGAAGAGCATTCTTCTCGGTTGCCTTGGCGTCAGATGTATGCAACTCTTGTTCACTACGCTCCTCAAGCGTCTCCGTCGATGCTTTCCCATCATATGCAGCGGTGATCTCCTCGTCATTGAGTCGTTCAGAGAGATTTGGATATGGATCCATGTTGGGATCTAACGTCGTTGCAGTTGAGTGAAGATCGCGTGCATGGTGTGGCAAGATCGCTCCATGGTGGCAGGTTGGCTTTGATCTCGTATGCGGGTGGGTATAGCGTAATGAAGAATGCAAGAGACGAGTAGCAGCACACCGTCTTGAGTGGTACATTGGTGTGATCCTCGAGAGAGCGGTGCGATCGTGGAAATGGAGAGTGTTGAAAGAACAAAGAAAAGCGGGCTTGCAACGGGCCCATGCAGCAGAATCCAACCACCCCTTCCCCTCCCTTTGACAGCCACTTTTGTTATACCTTCTTAATGCCCTTTTTATACAGTGATTATCATATAATACAAGATTCAAAAGAAAAGATGTACAATGTTGGAATGAGGTGTGTAAGGGAGGGGGAATCCTATCATGACTTCTTGGTGGTGGTGCATGTGAACAATTCGATAAATGCAGGTACAGTGAGAGCCACTTGTTCCACCAAAACATACCCACATGGATCGCGAGCTGACCAAGCAGTGAATGAAGATGGTGCTCGACGAATGTATCCTCTTGCTAATGCAGGTCTTGGTGGATCATGACCATGTAACTGCTTTGCTGTTAAGCGATGACTTGATGAATCATCCATGCGATGGCCTGCACCACATGTTAAACAAGCATCGAATAAACATTGCTGCTGCTTGTCCAGAATAGTCAATGGCTGGTATTGTTCTCGATGACGTACAAATTCACTGGCTCCAGAAAAGGTGCCTGCTCGAGCAGGCGGTAATTGCTTCCGAATATCCCACAATGAAGCTAGTACATGTTGCCGTTGTTGTTGCTGTTGTTGTTTATCCCTCGTGCCACTACTACTACGACGCATGACCAACTTTCCATGAGATACATACGCATCCTCCACTTTGAAAAAGTATTGATGGGGCTTTGGCTGCAACCATATGAGTCGTCGTGCCATATCTATCATGGTCATGTACATGGGTATCCATGACTCATTCTTTTCATTGGTATTGGGGCCAGCAAGCTCATACATGTTCGTGGAAACAAGGTCGATAAGTGGAGTCCCCTCGTTCTTTTGGTGTATCAATAATGCCTTCCGCAGAGCTTCGTCTACTACAGCAGCAGGAAACACTTGGTATAGAGATGCAAAACATGGGAGCGGTAATAGAGAGAGAATATGGAGGAGGATCTCTAGCGGAAGCATGTATAAAGTGTGATAGGGAAGAAGTGATAAGGGAAATAGAAACAAGTGGAAAATTGATGTGTAATGGGTTTTTCTTTTTGCTTTCAGCTGATCAATAATGCCGCATCGCCCAATGCTAATTGACCCCCCGGCCCCTCCCTCTCTCTCAATTTACTCCTTCCCTTTTTTCCCTCCACTCATCGATCGGAGCCGATCCCGGCCGAGAATAAATAAACCTGTTGAGTTCCACATGTCGTCCTGGGGCAACCATTGCTGCAACCCAAAATATGAGCAAATAAGCCTAAGCTTATAAACTTACCCAACAACAAGCTTATGGTTCATTCACGCTTTTAGCTACATGACTATCACGCATGACGCACATGACGCGCATGCGTCCAAAACAATTATGGACATAACCATCATGCTTCATGTTTCATGCTACTATTCTCAATATCACTGATGAAATTCGGTCTAGCTATATGAAACCTCATTAAAAGATCATGTGACCATCATCATCATCATTGCCAGAACGCCTTACTATAATGCCAAATACCTACACATGGTGGCATCCTTAAGGTTAACATCATGCTTCTTACATAGCTCGATATCAAAAAGGGATGAAGCACGCATCGATTACCGCATGAAACCCACAACAAAAGCTGTGTGGACAATGACATCTTTGTTCTACTTTGTATGATAGTTGTTATAAAGAAGGTGCTTGTGCAGCTGTTGTTGATGGTCCATCAAGCGCTGCTATTTTCAATGTGTAGCCTTGTGTTCATAAAGGTGTCTGGATGTGTATACTTGGGGGGATGTTTTACGGTGTGTGATGCAGCTTTGATGATATGACAGCAATAGCAACAACAACGAGATGAAAGCAAAAAATGAAGAGAGAGATCATGGTTCTTTGTGGTTTTCAGTACAGCTTTCTTTTATTACATCTTATGAATGAAGCGCCTGCAAGATGTAGGGATTGAGGATAGGAAACAACAAGCGCTGCTGGGTGTACTACACTAAGCGGCTGCTGGTGCTGCCTTTAGGAGTTTTAGCCGAGCAAAGGAGAAATTTTTGTGCTTTGTGCGGGTTCTTTTTATCTCGACATGGGCAAGCGAAAGCACGACGACAGCAAGAGTAGTGGATCGGGCAAGCACATCAAGATCGATGTTGCTAAGGTTGACGACACCGTTGAACAGCCTTATTTGGGTAACGATCGAGTGTTGGATTGGGTTGATTGGGCAAGTGTTAACTTATTGTTGTATGGATCAGCTGCATTCCCTGGCACCATGCCCGAAAACGACACCAAGTTCACCAGCTATCGTCCTGTCAGCAGCAACGACGACAATGCGAACCAACGCTTGATTTCTGGAGAGACTGAGAAGGTGGTCTTTACAGGCAGCAACTTTGGCGAGGATGCACCTGTCAACTACTGCAAGTAAGGGCATAGTTATCTATGTAAACGTTTTACAAGGGCTAATAAGGATGTATATATAGCTATATCGTGGGCACTTATTCAAAGAAGGATCAGACATTGACGATTACGCCTGCTCCAGTATTGCGTATGAAACGATCGGTCAAAGCTTTGCAGTCAGCACAGGGCAGCAGCAGTCGTTCGGATACTTTCGCTCAAGCCAAGGCATCTTTGGGTATGGCTTTTGGTACTGCCAAGGCCAAGAAGCAGATCAAGGAGACAGAGCGTAATGCTGTCAAGGCACAACAATTGGAGGATGACTTGCCTGATATTCACACCGAGATCAACAAGTACGAGGGTCCCACACAAGAGGATATTAAGCAATCGATGCAATTGAGTCTTCCAATTCCACCACCCAACATGGAAGCTGAGACGCCACAAGAAGCTTACGACATTTCGAATATTGTCACCAGCGAAGAATTACGCCAAGTCCCTGTCAAAGAGATCCTCAAAGCAGAGTCATTCAACGATCTCAAGCAATTGCTACCTTATTCAGCATCCAAATTTGTCAACGATCGTTTGATGAACATCATTAAAGCACCGGGAAAGAAGGATCGACAAGTCGTACGCTCGCTCGTTTATATCTCTTATCTTCAAGCATACTTGCTTAATTTGAAGCCATTCGATGTCAAGACACGCCGCAAGGTCGAATCCGCCATGAAGAATCCACCATCCATGATCATTGATCGTATTCAAGAACGATACACCGACAACAACGTGTAAGTGAAAACGTGGATAGTTTACGTGTATGCATTCTTACATCGCTTTATTAGTCGCACACCCGTCATGCATGATAAGATCTTATGTTATCTCTTTGTCCTTTGCTTGAACGTGGCAGATTACACGATTATTCCTGAAATGCTTGCCATGGATCTTTCTCTAAAGCCCATCAAGTAAGTATTTGGATGGGGGGAAACCTATTCCTGGATGATGGATGATGGAGCTGACACTATGTGATGATTAGGGTTACCACTCTACTCAGGAATTTGGGATGCAAAATCGACAAGTTAACAGTGGATGATCGCAAGTCTTTGGGAGCTTCTTCAGCACATCAAAAGAAGGCTACGCTTGTCGCCCCACTGAAATTCCCATCCGTGTCGCGTGGTAAACGTAAATAGAGGTGCACACTAGCATTTCGTAAATAGACACAACAAATTATTCACCTTCCCTGCATTCACATCGCTTTCATTTTGTACTAAAAAAAGTTGTATTTACTATTTGTATGACACTTATTTGATCCCTAAAAACTGATTATTCCGAGTTTGAAGTTGTACAAGGAATCCTCTAATTCTTTTTGGGATAGTTGACGGATCCAGAGCATGTCGACTTGTCAACGGAGTCCGTGGGCACGTATCCATCTTTACCCTTGACATGGAAATATAGCCAGATCTCTTCTATATCACCACCGCTACATGTTACTTTGGGTGCAGCTCCTGTGCTTTCCTTGATAGCATTTTCAATGTCTGAGACGCTATACGATCCTCCAGGGGTGATGCTAGCTTTGCTCAAAATGGCGTGGAGATCATACTTGCTACGTAAATCAAGAGCTTGGTGGAAGTAATCGGTAACGTCATCATTCTTTTGATACGAATCACCGTAGCATTCTGGATCCAAAGTAGTTACACAAGTACCTGATGTCCCAAACTTGTGAGTAGATCATGCAGGGGATATAGATTCATCAGCCCCTTTCATTATTCACATACCATGCTTGTTCCATTCGTGTGTCCAAAATTCGCTATTATCACCTAAAGAAATATACAATGTTACATCAGTATTATCTTCTTTCCCTTATAACTCTTGCACGTTACCTTTATTGGATGGCCAATAGGTGTTCATGGAATCGTGAAGTGAGCTATCCTTCTCCTTGATGATAGAGCCAACATCATCGTAGTTGCGTGATTTATCACAGCCCGAATCTCCACTGCCTGGAATGCCACCATTACAGGTATCAGGCCAAAGACCATGCAAGGTAAAGGCGTCTGATGGACCGTAACCAGGTGACCACTACCATTTCAAAAAAAGACAATGAGCCAAAATGGACGGCTACATCCCTATCACCCTTGACACTTGCCTGTTGTACGTGTACCAGCAATCCGTTTTCTGGGGTGCAGCACGAATCGCCGCTGGAAGCGCTACATGAAAGAGCATCCGCTACATACACGATGTTATTAAATGAAAGGCCATGGTAGAGTCCAATCACCAACCTGGACAGCTATCTTGACGTTTAAGCAAGTTTGTTGTGGGGAAGGCTGAAGCAGCAGCCATCAAACAGCTGGCGGCAATAGCAGCAGTAATTGGGGATTTCATTGTTGTTGTAAATTTAAGGAGGAGGTGAAGATGGAATAACACAGCCAGGTCGCTGTTGCTTTTATAGTTTTGAGGAGGAGGAGGAGAGACATGCCATATACATACGATCCTACCATTTCAAAGAATGCAACAGAAGAGGCAATTATAGATACAAAAAGGCTAGCCAGTATACTCTACCATGGAAATGCACGTGGATCAAGTATCACTCTCGAATCGTACTAAATCGCAATGCATGTAACACATAATTGTTACCTATATCACCTTGTGGCAGTATAATTACTTCCTTCTTGCTGAGGGCGACAACCGTTTCTTTCACTTCTACCAGCGGTGTGGTATCCATGCCAATCAATACGATCAGTGCAACCACGATGCGGGTCCCTGAGATTATTAAGATGCATTGCGTAGATCTCGGGTCGCACAGCATTATAACAACAAATCATCGTCGTATCCCTGGTCATGCCTTTACAAGAAGCAACATCTCATCCCTCACATACAATATTGAACCCTGTTGACTACTATGTGGGAATCACTGATCAAATTGCTAATCATGCATATGGTATTGGTGGTATGGACGTGGTAGCAAATTGCAAGATAATGTGGGAATCAATTGAAAACTTCTGGACGCCTCAAATCGCAATGCCGTGCGGAGCTCTCCAATAATGACATATGAAGATTCCCAATTAAGGATCCGATTCATAACAGCAGGAGCGACACAAGATCGCTTTCATGACATCTGCTACTCTTAAAAAGTGCTTCCGCATCAATAGGTGATCGATCATGCATTCGTCTACGTTACGATTTTTGGCACTTTTCAACTTGGAGACGCCATACATTGTTCCCCATTTAGATATAAAATGCACTCATCAATGTGCAACCGCTGTAATCGACGATAAAGCAATTGCTGTATCGTGTATGTGATAAGCATCCATATTAGATATCTACGTACCCCATACTTTGTGATAGCTGCTATCAAGAAGAGTTTGGATACACAAAGCAATCAAGTACAGCACAATACCATTGAACACAAGAAATAATGCATGTTCATGTGATGTATGATTACGTGTGCAGCCATCATCCTCACCACCAACTTGGTGTTCAAATCCGTAATTGAACGCTGTAAGACGTTTGATACGTTTTTACATGCATAGAAGGTACAGCTGAAGGAGCCATACATAGCACATCAATGGCGTCATATCACGCGATATACAACATCCGCTAACCCAACCACAACGATGAATGTTGTCAGTCATCATTGCTAAACCTTCTTAGTCTCTCTCTCCCCCCCTATCCTGATGCCAACATAGCGTTTCATTCAACTGGCTATAGTGCTCTCAACCTAAACTGCTCCTACACGCTTACAGCATAGGTAAAACATAAAGGTGTGTCTGCTTTTCAAAGTTCTCATAATGAAGCGTATGGATTTTATTTGAACAGAGTTGAGCAGCATGTCCAAGCGAACCTCATGATCATGTTTTCAAGTTCGAGATGGGGAATCCCAAGATAATTCATGCTGTTTGACAATTCATGCATCCAGCGCGTACCCAATTTCCGACCCTCCATGGTCAACCCCACATTATACCCTCCCATTCCACCTTCTTCAAATGAACTATGGGTTCTCTATTAGAACAAAGTTGATCGGCATATCCGAGAGTATCTTGTGTGAAAGTTTCAGGTTCGAGAGGGGCAATATCAATATCAAATATTGATGTACAGTGTTCATGCATCTATACAAGAGGTGTCCGACCTATTTAATTTCCACTTCTTCCACTCTCGGCTTCTTCCCTTTTCCTCCCATTCTCAACTGTTGGCCCATTCAAGTACAACTACCACCACCTGCGAACGATTGTCCTGCTTCAGCCCATCATGTCAATCCTGCAACTCTCTTGATTCGATTGCCTTCGACTGAATGGGCAAGTTACATGGCGTGTACACCCCACTACAACACCCGCGTTTCTTGACACTACACCTTCTCTCGTACAATCGTCGACCACAACCAATCGTTACAGCCTTCATTTCAGCAGTTGCTATTTACTCCATTGTCTCAAACAGGGTTCACAACCTTGTCACTCTACTACAACACACGCTCTTACACGCTCCTTGCCACAACCAAACGTAACAGCAGTCGCCCATGCAAGTTCTTTACTCCATTGTCTCAAGCTACGTGCAGCAATCTTTTTCGCGAGAACAGCAGATACCCGTTGCATAGAAGCAGCTTTATTTACGTGTAGCGACACGCTTTCAATGCATACGAATTCTTATGGATATGGATATGGATATGGATATGGATATGGTATGGATTTGGTGCATGGGATGGAAGGGACGGATCTATTGACCGGCTTGGTTCTTTTGGTCCATTTAGAACGTGATGTCAAGGTTGGATGGCACCGTATCAGCCGTCAACTACCCCACAATACAAGCAATCCACAGCTGGTCGAGCTGCGATGGAAAATGGCCAACAAGGAGAGAGACCAAGGACAGGATGGAAAGGAAGCATATCAGCAGCAATCACAAAGGCGCTTTCTTAGTGCAATGGTTATGATGGGTGGATTCAAGTAATGCAGTGATGAGGACCATGGCGATCGCTTGTCGCGTTTTCAACAAGAACAGATGGATCATATCACGTGGATACGATTGAGGATGATGATGGATGGGATGGAATTGACGAAAGGTGTTTACAGCCATTGGATGATATTGGCATACTAGAGTTGATGAACGTACCAGCTATTTTGCAATCATGGATGAAGGATCTTTATGACGGCAGCACCCAATGACACAATGACACAATTACCCCTATTACCTCTATGTGATTCACCCGTATCTCATTCAATTTACATTACTGTTCCTTTATCATATTTGCTCGATAAACATCCACGTTACCATGTCTTATTCTTCGACTTATGCATTGAATGAAAATTGGATTCGACAAGATGTTTAGGAGATTGTCGTACTATAAGCTTACATGCGCAAGATGTGGATCGCTTGGTTGGTTTCGGATTGGAAGGAGGGGGAATAGAAATTGGAAGGTTGGGAAGCGAGATTGGATCATTTACATAATCGTATCGAGATGCTGTGTTCTTCTTTTGTCACATTACTGTATTGCGTTCATTAAAGGTTCATAGTTCACATACCGATAGACAAAATGCAGGGCAGATCCTCAAACAATTGTATTGCAAGATAGTAAATTCGATAGTAATGATGCCTAACATAGTGCTTGCTACAGAAGCTTGGTTCATTGTAAGCTTAATTCATTATGTTCAAGAAAGAGTGAGTAGTGATACAATGACTACGAGCACATGGACATACAATACTTTTCTATGATACTTTTCAGCTAACATTATATCATGCAACCTTGTATAAAAACGGTCCAATCCATATAGGCATCATACGCGGACCTTATTATCAGCAGGAGGCAGGGGAAGGATCGATCATGCATCCTCCACCAATGGGATCGTCCCCTCCGAGTCGCGTCCTCCTGGACTTTGTGACACAAACACACACCTGTGCATCTTTTGCTCCAGGGTCTAGCTACTTGGCAATGAACAAAGAACTCTTTTCATATAGCATCACGCTTACAAACATAAAGACACCTGTATCTCTAAACTTAACAATCAAACGTGGGGTTTTTATTAGAGCAATGGGCTCGGCTTGGCCAACAGCACCTTGTGTGAAAGTTTCACGTTCATCGTGGCCAATCCCAGATTTCGCAATGTTGCTACCAGCCAAACTGGATCGGGGGGTCGACCTCTTCGACGACGGCGACCAAAAAATATTTTGGAGCTAGTTGCGACATTGAACGCGAAACTTTCACACAAGGTGCTGTTGGCCAAGTTGTAAGCTTAATTCATTATGTTCAAGAAAGAGTGAGTAAAGCGATACAATATCCATGAGCACATATATGTTAGTGTCACTTTCTATGATACTTTTCAGCTAACATTATATCATGCAACCTTGTATAAAAACGGTCCAATCCATATAGGCATCATACGCGGACCTTATTATCAGCAGGAGGCAGGGGAAGGATCGATCATGAATTCTCCACCAATGGGATCGTCCCCTCCGAGTCGCGTCCCTCCTGGACTTTGTGACACAAACACACACCTGCTAGTCTAGGTCTAGCTACTTGGCAATGAACAAAGAACTCTTTTCATATAGCATCACGCTTACAAACATAAAGACACCTGTATCTCTAAACTTAACAATCAAACGTGGGGTTTTTATTAGAGCAAATCGGGCTCGGCTTGGCCAACAGCACCTTGTGTGAAAGTTTCACGTTCATCGTGGCCAATCCCAGATTTCGCAATGTTGCTACCAGCCAAACTGGATCGGGGGGTCGACCTCTTCGACGACGGCGACCAAAAAATATTTTGGAGCTAGTTGCGACATTGAACGCGAAACTTTCACACAAGGTGCTGTTGGCCAAGCCGAACCCATTGCTCTAATAAAAACCCCACGTTTCATTGTAAAGTTTGGAGATACAGGCACCTTTATGTTTGTAAGCGTGATGCTATATGAAGAGTGGTCTTTGTTCATTGTCAAGTAGGTGGACCCTGGCAGAGCAAAAGATGCAGAGGGTCGTGTTGTGTAACACGGCTACGTTTGCATGAATGAAAGGGTCAATGTATAATTACTTTATGGATCATCTAGGAACAGGCATCTATTGCTAGCTAACGGCCACTTTTATCCAATTATCATTGTTGCGAGATCCACTGCATGGGAACGATGCCCCTGCTCCAGACATTCATTTCCGTGATTAAAGTAGGTTGATCCGAGCTGATTTGACTGAGCTGCGGTCAAAGAGAGATTACATCACTCTGGACATAAAGCACGCTCGATGTAGCTCAACCGATGTAATCTTGTGTGAGCGTAACTCAACCAAATCAGCTCGGATCAACCTACTTTAATCATGGAAATGAATGTCTAGAGCAGGGGCATCGTTCCCATGCAGTGGATCTCGCAACAATGATGATTGGATAAGAGTGGCCGTTAGCTGCCAATGTATGACATAAAAGTGAGGGTTGCGTACCTTTCATGCATTGTCCCTGAAGTCCTGACTTTTTAGCTGAGTTACCCAAAGAGGCCCTTCTGCATCTTTGGCTCTGCCAGGGTCCACCTATTTGATAATGAACAAAGACCACTTCTCATATAGCATCACGCTTACAAACATAAAGGTGCCTGTATCTCCAAACTTTACAATGAAACGTGGGGTTTTTAATAGAGCAATGGGCTCGGTTTGGTCAACAGCACCTTGTGTGAAAGTTTCGCGTTCAATGTCGCAACTAGCCCAAAAAATATTTTTTGGTCGTCGTCGTCAAAGAGGTCGACCTCCGGATCCAGTTTGGCTGGTAGCGACATTGCGAAATCGGGGATTGGCCACGATGAACGTGAAACTTTCACCCAAGGTGCTGTTGGCCAAGCCGAGCCCATTGCTCTATTCAAAACCCCACGTTTGATTGTAAAGTTTAGAGATACAGGCACCTTTATGTTTTACTATGCTGCAAGCGTGATGGTATTTGAAAAGTGATCTTTGTTCATTGTCGAGTAGCTAGACCTTGACAGAGTAAAAGATGCAGAAAGTCGTGTTTGTGGAAAGCCAACTTGAAGCATCGATCCTATTGGTGGGAGAATGCATTATGGATCTTTCACCCCATGGTGATGTCCGCCTTTGGGTAGCCCGCATGCATTGTTTTTCATGTTGCCATGGAATGGCTCCTAGACCAAAAATGACCAGCGCATCTGATAGTATACATTTTGATAGAATGGGAGTGGCAACGATGTTGTTTGCTTTCAAGGGTCGTTTGCATACAATATGTAAAAGGGAGATAGCGCTCTTTATTATGATAGCGTACAACTAAAAGACATCATCGCTCATTATCAGAGCATTTCCACGACACTGCGAGGGATTACAAACAGAGGGACCCATGACAGTTGCAGAAAATAGGGTGAGAATGTTAAAGGCTATGTGTGCAAGCCGATGGCATGGCTTCAACGTTCCTTCAGTAACAGCCGAGGAGGCTTCATTATGGTGCTACGTGGCAGGAATTCTTTAACTTGCTTCTCAATTACATGATCAAAGTACACTATGTGACCTTACACGCACATGACATGATGAATTTTGGTTACTGGTACTAAAAGAAAATAGTAAAGCAAATCAACATTTCTTGCTTTGGCAATTCCTTGCTCAGAATGGAGAGGGTAGCTGACACAAGAAGGCTGAGATAGTTGCTCTTATCTCTTCTGATAACGACCATGTTTTCCCACACCCCTTATTTGACATGTGGGTAACCCATCACCATTCCCACCTTCTGCTATCGTAATTCTTTTTGTCATGAAGCTGCTTATCACATTCGATCCACCATTCTTTCAACATCGGCTGCAACATTTTCCACTATGATCATTCTGCAACCCAAACTCCCCAAACACATTTATTGTTCAATCAAACGTTTATCGATAAAGGTGCGTCGGCTTTTATCTCCTCTTGTATAGGCTCACAAGTGCACGAAATGGTAAAATCGTGGTTATCTGTGCCAATCAAATAACCGGAGTACGCTTTTATCATCACAACAGTGAGAAGTACGTTTCACGCTTTCCTTCTCATTTTCTTCTCGAATTGTCGATGTACCCACCCGTTTCTTAAGCTTTCATACGCATTCATGCACACAGGTTTCATTGATAAAATGGAAGGGGCTCATTATCGAACAAGATCACACCGCCACGAACAACATCAGAATGAGCATCTACCGCCTATCAACAGCAATATGAGTGATACGCTATATACCAATTTTCTACATTGCCAGCAAAGTGTACCACTACTTCCTTCACCGCACCAAATGCTGCATCGAAGAAGCGGCTCACACCAACAGCCATTACAGCGTGAGCAGTATAATACCCTCCCAACTACTGATTTTAGTCGACGCAAGGTGCCACTTTGTAACCATGGCATGTATATGGATCACCATGACGACAAAAGAGAATACAAAAACAATGACAACAACAACGTTTCATGCCATAACTGTGGCACAACAACAACACCGCTTTGGCGACGAGATGAGGATGGGCGTACCATTTGCAATGCCTGTGGTTTGTATTACAAGCTACATCATATGAATCGCCCTCTCACCATGAAGAACACTGTCATCAAACGTCGAAAACGATTTAGCATTAAAGCACACGATGATGCCAACAATAGCTCTTCGTCGCAAAAACAACACGTTATTGAGGAAGAAGAGAAGCAGCATCGGACCATCAAAAATGGTAAAAGCAGTATGCCAATGGCAAACGATCACTGGGTGAATCCTGGTGACAGCTGTGGGCGACGAAATCAGATCTTTGATGTCCATAACAGCAATGCATATTACAGGCGATCAATGTCACGAGATCCATCTGGTAGCAGCAATAGCAGCAATGATGATAATGACTTGCTCTCCCATATACAAGCTATACTTGACAATCATCAGCATTTTAGCATGGATCAATTAGAGCCGGTGCTCAATGCTATTCTTGCACCTCCGATAGATAAACATCGATCCATGCCATCATCGTCGTCATCATCATCGCTTTACACTCACATGTCAAAACAACCACTTACATCGGCACTTGCATATTGTCTTGAGGATCGGCAAAGTTTTGTAAATGCGTTGACAAGGAAACGTGAAGAGCTACAAGCCCAAATGCAATCGATCGATGTCCTACTCACTAGCCTAAGGAGGCTGACAATGCCATCTTCGTTAACAAAGCCGTCAAGCAACCCTTTACAAAAGACTCAAGATGAAGCCAAGCCATACAATTCACAGCATAGGTCTGCTTTTCTTCCCCCGAAATCATTATCCAGAGAGCTCTTTTCCAAGAGACCAGCAAGGGTGGATAGTGACACTATGGGGTTAATGTCGATCAATGGTAGCGGAGATGGCATATCATTAATGATGCATGACCATGATGCCACAAGTGGGACATCCATGGAAGATCATCAGCACGAGCTTGACGCAGAAGCACAAGGAAAACCAAGATACTATTATAGCTTGCATCATTGATCTCTTGATGTGAGTTGAATCCCTTCATAGATCGCCCTGCATATCTCTCTTGTTTGAATATCCGCAAATCTATTAACAAGGCACATGGTTTTCATATGAGATGGTACCTATATTGCATCAACGCTTGTTGGTTTATGCATAATGCTACAAGCACCATGAACATGTGTATTCTTTAGCAGAGGGGTTTTATGGTCTCTAAAAATAATGGATGCCACGCACTTCTTCTTTTTGCTTAATAATGGGGGTGGTGGGTCTGCTTCGATTCATAAAGTAGACAACGGGAAGAATGATTGAAAAAGGTATGGCTTTCATTATAGCCCACATGCAACGTGCATTATAAAGATATGTATGTGAGTGAGAGGTGATAGGGAAAAGAAGGGAGTGGTGATTGTTGCATATGTCTGTGTGTGCTCATGTCGATCATTTTAACATTAGCTAAAGGGATAGAACACATTTAGAGGAAAAACAGCATTGGCACTGACCTTGATTGGCATAGTGTTAGAGTATCCATATCACATGTCCAACACCTTAAGCTCCCCCTTGTAGATTATTCTTTCTTCTTGGCCTTATACATACCTCCCCCCCCCCATCACACCAATCGTCCCTGTCTATACAACCGACCCCGTTCCCCTACCCCAGCTGAGCATAAGGAAGTTGTTGGTTGACTGACAAAAGCTTTAGGAGCATGAGCGAATAGAATTACCGCCGACTACAGATAAAGGGGATTGTGTGTGTATGTGGGGGAGAGAGGAAGGAGCTTCTTTTTCCATTTTTGGTTGCACCACGCTCTCTTTCATTTCGTCTCCTCCCCCAACCTTTTACATGTTGCTTCGCATTTACGCTGTCGCATTTATTCATGTCCTTGCTCCTTTTTTTACTCTTTCTTCCTCACTTGTCTAGTCTTTGCTCCTCGTTTTCTGTAATGACAACGTGCATACGGCAAATTCATACAGCGACGCATTCAGGGCATGGCTAGAGCAAAAGAATTTGTTGATCATACATAGGTGTGGCTGGAACATCTCTACATTTACAACAGCAGCAACGGAGATGGCGGATTGATTTGGGTGAATGATGATGGCTCACAAGAATCCCTTGAACACGCGCACATACATTAGAGAAAATCATGCAAGCGTAGTTGTTGGCTTATCCTGGGGCATCATTAATCATGATGGAAGAAATTGGATACATTGCATTGGGTGCATACGTTTATTGTAAAAGGCAACAAATGGCACGTGAAGCAAGCATTGGGTGTACATATGACGTTGAAAAATACAATGTTCTGGAAAAGAATGGTGGTCCCAAACGCCCAACGCTTGCAGCAACATGGTCATAGCGGGTGCCATTGGGCCGGGTCACGCGCTTAATGCTAGTGCACAAAGATGGCAAACCAGGGGTTGAGGACAAGCCCAAAGTGGACATGGGTGTATGATACGTGCGCATTTACATATACGTGGGTCATTCTTTGGGTATGCATCACAAGTTTTCCTTTGTAAATCACCTGGTTCATAATAAGAAGTACCTTCCTGCATGATAATCTGATATCATCATTTTCGATCATGCATGCTTCTTTATCTTACGTCGCGTGTTTACAAGGTACCCATTCAATGGTGGATAAAGCTTCCTTTTCATCGAGACCAAAGATTGGGGTGGAATACCATGGAACGCTTTCCTCTTTTTTTGTGTTGAACAATAAGCAACATGGTACGAGTGTATGCAGAAAAGAATGGGCTTTTCACATGGAACACCAATCATTATGCTTCAAAGATATGACCATGTCGGGTGACACCAAATTCAAATTGGTTTGATCGACTTGTTGAACAAAACCCGCACCACATGGCTCAGAGTCCGCCTATGGCAGTACAACGTCAACTCTATTATCTATTGTCGCTTTTGGTTGTCCCTCGGCCTTATTTTCAACGCGTTTCGTCACCATTTTATGACCATCGTCCCCCAATATCTAACGCTATTATGTTTCCATTTTGCCATGTGGTTCAATAACTCAGTCTTTGTATCACCGCCGATGCATCGGGGCAACGTACATGCAACCCAGAATAAGCCAAAGTGTGAGTAAAAACGTCTGTGTGTTGGTCACCGGGACCAGGGGTGTTGCACTTATGCTTGTGTGTGTCCAACCACAAACAACCCCTTATTTTGAGACGCGTCATTCACTTGCATTATGTCATCTATATTGCTGATGTTTGTATTTTTTGTTTTCAAAGCAAATGGATACCCTGCCATCAACTTGACACGCATAAAAATATCAAAGTAAATGGACAGCTATGATTATTTTTGGGGTTGAGGAATGGAGGGAGACAACGTGGCTTCTTTGAAACATACGCACAAGCACGCACGCACTTGCCACGATAGCACAACCAAAAAGCTATGACGCCAACGGAGGTTCGATCGAGCTGAATTATTGTTGTTGCCAATGTTGTACGAGATCCATTGCAGTTACACAGACATCACAAACAGCACACTACTTGGGTGTTGTTCTTGGCTGGACCTTTTGGTATCCTTGGTGATGCCCAACCGAGCCTTTGGTAGCATGTTGAGTGTTCTTCCAAAGGAAAGAAAAGCGTTGCCATTGACTACAATGGTGGATCTCACATTCCAAAAGAAAAGAAAATAAAAAAACCATGCGATTGACATGCGTTGGATGTGTTTTATTTAGTGGCTCGTGCCTCGTCATCCGATAGGTGCACCATGGATTGCCCCACTTACCTTTTGCGTGGTTGTGTCAGCACATTATTTGGCTTTTCGGCTTGGGCTACGTTTGCCCAATGTCACACTGGATTTGGAAAAGGGGATATACTATACGTGGATGAAACATCATCACTCTGGTGAATGTATTGGGTGATGTAAATGCGTGGGGAAGGGAACACGGGCTGATCTCAATACGTAGAATGCATCTCGTGCGTTGTGTACGAGTATCACGAATCTTATCTCATTGTTATAGCCACATTGACGACTACAATGCGCATGGTACAAGATATGATACACACATGCAACAGCAGCACCAAAAGTGTGGATGAGACTGCAGGATCATTATCCACTGCTTGTGATTGTGGTATTGGACATGGTGCATCTCGATCCTTTTTTTCATATGCTCGTGGAAGGAATGAGCTATACGGCAACACCGACATTGGTGATGGCGCTACGATGATAGAGGTAGGTAAATGAATCCAATAAGCAAGAACACAAATACCATACTCGCACCTCCTTCCAGACTTGCCCTTATTGCATGCATGATTGGTTGATTGCAGCATATGATAGAGATTGGCAGGTATGAAAATGAAACAAGGAAGAATCGAGGCTCATGTCGGATCGTTGCCATGTTAATTAATTTAGGGCCATGTGAGTGTGCAGCACTGCTGTTGAAACATTGCAAGCGGACAACACCAGCAATGCCGATAGCTTCTTCCGCTTTGGATGATCCTTTATGAGTTTGGTCTAGACATCGATCATAAGGTTGTCTTAATACGAGGCTATTACATGATCAAAGAATCGATCATTGCAAGCACACTATATTTAGCAGCATGATCAAATCAATGGTACAAAACACATACAATGGCAGCAAGGACGGCAGATACCTAAAAGAAAAGGAATACCGTGTGCGTTGCTCCTTACACTGTCAATCGCATTACTTAACTTACTATTGATCGCAATAATGGGTGTGATGATAGTTCCCTTGTCATCCGTGTCCCCTAGATGTATGTGTGTAAAGCATCCGAATGAGACGAATGGTCAAGGGGGATAAGAGGAGCGTAAGAGGAAAAGAAAAAAACGAGATGGGAGGATTTAACAGCATCATACATAGTGGAACGAGGATAACGAGGGGAAGAAGAGGAGTGAAAAGATGAGTGGGGTTGCAGCAAAGAAGACAACCCCAAGGATGAAAAAGACGATTTTGATGGGAGAAAGGCGTCAAGCATCAAGAGCAAGCGAGGAGCAAGAAGGGAGAAGTGAATGGAGGAAAATGTTCTTATGTGAGAGAGAAAAAGAGAGAGAGAGAGACGTGTGTATGTTTGTGTGCGTGCATTGCAGAGTGCACATACATCGTGTGCTGCATTCAGGATTGCTTATCAAGGGCCCTTTTTGGGTTTTGAGTGTGGACGTGCGTGTCACTCCAAAAGTGTTTTGTGGCACCTAGCAAACCCGTGAAGTCTTTAACCCCCCTTCTTTTTTGTGCTCCCCCCATTTTTTCACTCGCTTATATAAACGGAGTCACCATCCAACGTCGCACCTTTACAACAACCTTCTTTTCTTCTTTTTATTCTTGTCTACGCTTTTCCCCCTTTGCAGTTTACTTCTTTTATCAATGGATATCCACAACCTTCTCAATCACGATGCTGCAGCTGCAGCTGCTGCAACTACTGTTGCCTCTGTGCATGTGCTCACTAACATCACCGATCGCCAATATGTGTGTACATGGGATGACTGCGGCAAACGCTTTTCACGACGCTCTGATCTTTCACGACATCGCCGTATTCACACTGGTGAACGCCCTTATCATTGTGAATGGGAAGGCTGTGGCAAGCAATTTATCCAACGATCAGCTTTAACCGTTCACTACCGCACCCATACCGGTGAGCGACCTCACGTGTGCGAGTATGAATCGTGTGGCAAATCATTCAGTGACGTATGTATCAGCTTTCCCCATTGATAATAGTGCTCTGGCCTAACTCTATATACCTTCAATAGTCATCTTCTTTGGCACGCCATCGACGTACTCATACCGGCAAACGACCTTATGTGTGTGATTTTCCTGAATGTGGTAAATCATTCACTCGCAAGACAACCTTGTCTCGTCACCAACGTTGTCATGACCCCAACTGGCGAGCTGTAAGGTGAGTAACATGCAACACATACCATGATGATGTTTCTTGGCAACTCACCAAATTGCATTTATATATAGTTCCACGAGCAAGTCTCCGCTATCTCCATCCACCAGTGATGAATCCGAAGCAGATCGATCACCCAGTCCACCAACAACACCTATCGATCATTACGCCTATCATCGTACTGCATCCTCACCCATGTTGGTGGCTCCAATGGTTTATCGCCCACAACAAGCTCGCCATCACAACCGTGCACCTGAACCATACCATCCTTACCATCATCAGCAGCGCTGGTCCACTCCTGCATCAGCATTCTCTTTGCACCATCCTATTGCCGAACGACCTTGTTCAATGAAGACACCTTTCCCTCTTTATGCACATGCACATCCACGAACGGCATTGCCTACAGGATCAGCACCATATGCCTTTGAGTAAACACACCCCATCAGCAATCAATCAAACCGAGAAAGAGAGGCGAACGGCCATCGATTATATACGACTCTCTTCTACAAGAACAACAACAACCCATTGATCATTATCTCATTCTTCATCTTTTCTCATATTCACCATTCTACTATATCTTTTCACTTACCTTCTCTCTCATGGCAGCTTGCTGCTGTAATATCTTATTCGTTCCCTTTGCATACTTGTATGCATCCATTCTTATTAGTTATGTGCTATCTTTTACCTCATGCTTTGTATATACATAACATACACCCATCCCACCATGGCCATGGCCTGGCAATTTGCACGCACACAACTCTCACACAAACACACACATATTCCATACATTGATACAACTTGCACGCACACTCACTTTATGCTTCATTATGCTCCACATCTTTCATATCTTGCACACACTCTCACACACTCTCTCTACATGCGTTGACACTGGATGCACACCAAAAAAGTAGTAGTTTATCGCCTTTATGCCCAAATGGCCTAAGATAGAAACCTTGTGTTGCTGGAGAGTAAATTCATTCATCCCATTTGTAATACAAAAACCAATCTAACGTCTACAAAAGTGTGTGTGAAAAAAAAGTTGATGACCGTGCGCAGCATCATTATTGCGACGTGTGTGGCCGTGCACGGCTTTTGGTGTTATTTTCTCACCATGTCATGCTTCATGTACTAGCCAGTGTGACCAATCCCAAATTTGGCAATAATCATTTCCATGGATACATCGATCGACAAAAAGAAAAACAACATCCGTGTTGTTGGCAAAGACACGAGCTTGGCCTCATTCTGCAAACACACATGACCTTTGCATAAGAGAGGAGAGAGGTCTCACAAACATGTATGTTTATTACATTTAAAAGGGAGTTGCAACATGTTGGCCTTGACCAGGATAATGGTTGGCATGGATACGATGGTGATAGTGGTAGCGATGGCGAGTGAGTGTCTTTGTTTAATGATTCAAAAATTGAGGGTAACGGCTGATGGGTGAATGTATTTTGTGGCCCCACCACCATTACGTATCCATGTGCATGTAAAAAGTTGGCCTTGTTTGCATGAAGCTTACGATCGATCCTTTATCACGTAGTACCTTGATCGAGAATGACGATGCACACTACAACAACAAAGATACCTACCACCCCCTTCCCCCAAAGAATACACTCATCTCCCGATTTTTTAAGCTCTCCTTGTTTCCCCTATTCCGATCTTAATCATATAACAAAAAACAGGTGCTTGTCAATTAAGGGGAAAGGGCGTCATGAGAATGGAATATACGCGAGGAGAGAGAAAATGACCCAGGGGACAGGAAACACACATACACACACGTCAAAGCCGATGATGATCGCCATCATGCATCTGGATACGCTATCATGATGACCCCCCAAATTCTGCTTTAATAATAATACAAGTTCCCTTGATCTTGGACATACACACATACACCTCTTTCAATGTACCTAGATTACATCTACATCAGTACTACATAGGCCTTTGTACTCTCCTATAGATGCCATAAATATCAATGGTTTTCTGCACCAAGCAAGCAATATGGGTCTTTTCAGCTGCTGGTTTTGTTTCATCTCCCCCACATTCCATCCCTTAAGTCGCTGACGACTTTTGACTATAGAGGATGCTTGTTTAGCTGGTAATCAACTTTTTGCCTTTGTATGTGGCGATGTTGCAGCAACCTTAATCGTACAAGAAACATACATACACACACACCATGAAGGGGTGGATCGGAAAGAAAGAGGAGGAGGAATGGGTCCTATGGTGCAATGAAGGAGAATTGTGAAGCTGATGCATGGATCATGTGCACAATGACTCGGTTATGATGTTTGTGCTGATGAGCACAAACCCGATCATCAGCCATGATTTAATGATGATCGATCTATGATCATTCTAAGGGCAATACCATCATTCATTGTATACATACATAGATACTATAGGTCGTAAAAAGGAGACTTGCATCTGTGCTGTTGCTTGTATGTGTGTGTGCTTGGTTCATTGGACTCTGCGTAAGGAGCCAAGGATAGGAAGCTTAAAGTTGTAGTCATTATCCTGAATGACAAATCTTTGTCTTTTACTGACAGCAAAAGGAAAAGGAAAATGTTGTATGGAAACGGGGGTGAGCACCACATACAATGTGATGGGTGAGTGTTGGCTACGCTGCTGCTGCGATTGTTGTTGTTACCTGCAAGCACACATACACAAACCAAGAGGATCATCCTTTTCATCCCCTTCATCCATGCAACCTTTTTGGGATGATAGGCTTTTCCTCCCTGTTTGATAATGGGTGTACATATGCAGTGAAGCCAAGTAATTCTAACAGTCGTATTCAACGGCGCTTGTACTCCTTGTAAATTGGCGTGGATTGTGTCCCAACAATGAAGGTGGTACGTCGACTACGGATGACCTTTTGGCTTTTCTCCTTTTCAAGCACACACACGATCGTACATAATAGTGTTTGTCCTTCTTCTCAAGCATTATTGCTGTGCAACGTCTCTCTCTCTCCCCCAACTACCAGCATTTTGGATACACGCCAATACCCCTTAGATACTCTATGCAGTGATCATCAAGTTGGCATTAAAGTTATCGATAGGCGTGCGCAAAGTGCCAATGTTGATGGTGTATGTGTGGGTGTGTGGAAGGTTGGTAAGAGGCTCAATTTTATTACTGCGTTGCCATATGCAAATCGAGGAGCATGCAGATAAAAGAAAGGGGGTTAAAGACTTGAAAGGTATCGTGAAAGAAGAAGAAGTAGCATGAGCAAAATCGAAAAGGTCTTCGGAATGAATATCGGAACAGCCGTCTTCTTGGAATATCGATGAGTAGGCCGTTTAGCAAAAGTAATCAAGAACAAAACACGGAATGCATTGACCAACCAAAGCCAATAAGCTCAAGCTATTATCCAAGCTTGTCAGAAAACAAGGTCCCATATGGGCGCTCTTGCACATTTCAATTTCAACCAGCAGCAGGTATTACCAGTAGTAGTATCACGCTGACTACGACATCAATAGCTTTCCTCCTCCTTCAACCATAAAACCACCCTAATCAGCATGTATCCATAATAGACTTTTGATGCATTGGATAAGTTCATAGATAGGATTGTATCCGTGATTGTTTACATCAGTCAGCAATGTGATCCCTTTGTTCCTATTTTTTCTTCCCCCCAAACTTTCCTCCTTTTCTCGGCATATGTGTCTTTTCCTTCTCCTCATGAAAGCAGTAGCAGAGTAATGGCTATCCGGCGTTTGTTGTTGAAGAAACCAAAAAGGGAAACACACCGACGGGGATGATGGTGGGGGAGAAAGGGGGTTAAGATAAGGGATTGGTCCGGCCGAGAATAATGGGTGTATGTACATTCTTCAGGAAAGGGGTTATGTTGTACAAGAGCGAACTTTTCATCTTGTATCCCTCCTCCTGGCATCTATATACAATGACATCTTATACCACGAGCGCGTGTGTTTGGGTGCAGAATCTGTCAAACATATCGTATCCTTAGCGAAGTAATATGATGATGCATGCTGCAGATCGCCACATTCGCACTGCCCATGTCTCTTGCTCTCTCACCACAATAAAACATAATCTTGGCTCTGTAAATTACGACACGATGGCATCATCTACGCACGCACACGCCATGTTTAATTAAAAGTAAAAGCCAACGAAAGTGGTACAGCATCACAATAGGTCCTAGCGTAATCGTCACACACACACACATATAGCTATGAATGATGGCCCTTATTCGATAATTGTGCTACCAAGCTCGCATTTTTTTCGTCGGCAACAACACCCAGCGTCCTCTTTTTCTTGGCTCCTGAATACACACCATCATGCAATTGATGTACACTACACCACATACCCCGAGGCTACATCACGAAAACAACCTTTTTGTTATCACCTACCTTGAATTACAGGCTGTAACGAGTGGGATTTTTCCTATCTCTATCATTATTAGCTCCTTTCAACTTACACACAACAAGGATTGTCCAACAAGGTGGATGATGATTGAGATAGCACATGCATCACTGTTGCTGATGCATATAGTCTCTTTCATTTCTCCTTAGAGATGACTGTTGTTACAATACCCAAATGCATGCATGCTATCTAAAGTTTAGAATAGATAGGAGGCTTGCATAAGGAATGTTGAGGGACTGATCTTGAGCGGAAGAAAGAGAGAGAGACAATGAGTCTAGAAAGTGTAAACGACTCAAAGGGGGGGGGTCCAAAGTCAAGTAGCAGTAGGGGAGCTATTACCAATAACAGCAAAAACAAAGGAGCCAAGAAAACCTGGGGTTGGTAGATTTTTTTGGGTCTTGCTCTTTTGCACGCGATGATCGACAAGGACCTTTAATCACGAGGCCATAGTAGTAGGTATTACAGTAGTAGTCGACTATGAATGTACAAAAAAAAAGTGAATGACGTAGGGAGAGAAATGCCAACTATACTACACTTTTTGCAAAAGGTATCGGCAAAATTGTTCCTTTCGAATAACCTTTTTTTTTTCTTGAGCTAAAGCATTCTCCACATACAACCTCACCCCCTCCCTGCTCCCTTCTTTCGAGTAAGATGAAGTCGTGTGTGTTGTAGTGGAGAGGGATTGTTTATTCTTTCAGGTATGAAAACTACTCTTGATATAAGACAAGTAAGACAAATGGGTTCTCGGCAAAAACAAGCGATGTGGACCTCCCCTCCTGATGATAAAGTAGTGCATGTCGATATCATCATTCGGCGGTTATTATGCGTATACCGTAATCATCCATTGATTTTGTTGCTGGGCTGAATAATGAATGTTGAAATGGATCATTGTATGTGTGTGCGTCAGTGATAATGAAAGAAGCAATACATGGTCTTATTGTGTTTGTTACCTTTGTCATCTCGATATGGTGGTGGTTGTGGTTGCCTCATTTGTGATCCCGCCAAGGTTTGCGTGGGTGGTGGTGGTGGTGTTAAGGAAACGCTCGGTCTCTTTCTTCTGCCTTCTTTTTTACTGCTTGACGTCAACCCTTCCATTTCGCTTGGACATTCCACCCCCATGGCCCAACCATCAACACTTCCTTTGCAGCAGCGTGTGCTGAAATTAGTTCAGGTAGGAATATCACCATTGGGAGTGAAATAGCAGCGTGTCAATGTACATACCCATCTCATTTATGCCTCCCAACACTCACACGTGTCAATGGTAGACCTTGCAATTCGCTTGGTTCGCAGGCCACTTGTTTACCTTGCTTGGAACATCCTTGCACCTTCTCTCGGTCGTGACCTTTCAGTCAGCTTCGAAACCATATAGCTTGGCTTACTTGGGTGCGCTTCTTTCATATGGCGTTGTTATCTACAAGACCCATGGTGTAAGTTATTGGATGGGAACCCTTTGTTAGGATGATATCCTTACGTGTGTTACGTAAATAGGTCCCCAAGTTGAATGCAGCTTATGCCCAACGTCTCGTTATGGATGAAAATGTGCAATATTTCCTTTTGGCATTGTATTGGTTCTTTTCTAGTCCCATTACAGGTAAATGCGTATATATATGTGTGTGTATGGATGATATGGAGAATCATGGTAGTAACCTTTTATGTTTTATTACAGTGACGCTTGTGCCTTATGCTACATTCTCATTGTTCCATGCTCTTGGCTATGTCCGTTCCAACATTATCCCGAATGTTTTCCCAGCCGCTCCCGCTGCAGCAGCATCTTCTTCCAGCAGTAGCGGTGCTTCTACTACTACTTGGCAAGCAAAGACTCAGCAACAAATCAAGGCTTGGGTGGATAAGAACTATGAAACTGCTATGCGTTTTGTTGCTCAGATTGAAGTGGTTGGCATCATGGGTCGATTACTCCTTGGTATTTTCAGGTAAGAGAGAGAGGATAAAGGGACTAAAAAAAGGAGGTGATAGAGTAGTGCCATTGCTCACTGTTTGACGCGTTTTTTTAGATTGCATATTATGCCCATCTTTTTGTACGCTCAATTCTTGCGCTTCCGTTACCACTTGTCGGCTTATACTCGTCAATCATTCACCCACTTGAAACGTACTCTGGATCAAGTAACTGCCGACCCTCGTGTGCCTCCCGCTGTGCGAAAGGCTTACATGACAGTACAAGATGTGATCACCCGCTATGGTCAGGCTGCTGTGCAACAACAACAACCAGGTCGTCGTTAACCAATTGTGTGAATACAAAATCAACAACCCATATACAAGCACATAGCCAATTTACATACAAAACCCCCCCCATCCATTATTGTTATTTGTCTTTTCTTTTGCGTACACACTGAGCTGCTATAAATATTTAAGCTTGTTTTTCTTGATGGATGTGATTGTATTTGAGTAAAGCAAAACAACAACTTCAAAACGATACATCTAATGTAGGGATGGGGAGAGAATGGGATTAAGGTTGCATGAGAGGGTGGTGGATCGTTGTCAGCTTGTGGTATCATCCAATTTGTCAACCAATGCTTTGAGTAAAACCATGGTATAATGAGCGTCATTGCCTATATCCAACGTTGATCAATATCATGCCTATCCTTCCTATGTATATGACTCTTACCAGCATTATGTAGACACCAATGATCAATCTCGAATAACGATAGTGTTCTACCAAGGGAAGGAGGATTGTGTAGATCGTTAACAGACGCACCATAAAGAACATCCGTATTGATGATAGTAATCAATGCACTTTGTTGGATATCAAGAGTGTCGTCCACACCAGGATGGCGCCCTGGCCACAAGAACTTGGCCTGTCGCAGATACTTGAGATCACTATCGAGACCATGGCCAACAAGAACAAATCCACCATCACGCTTGACGCACCAATCCAGATCCTTTTTGAGCTCTGCAAGGGCTTGTGGTAAGGTGCACCACACTGATGTGCCAAAGTTGAAACGTAACTTTTGATCATCGACATAGCGGCCATTCGATAAATGACGATAACTGCTGATAAGATAATGCTGATCCATGTAACGATCGGTTCTGGTATCGTACAACGTCCATCCAATTTCAAGTAAAATGCTGTGATCCTGCTCCCATGCTTCAATATCGATGCTGCATAAGACATACTCCCCTGGTGATCGTGCAAGTTCAGCGGCATATCTCCAAGCATCATGTGCTTCACGTAGTTTGGTTGCAGTTGCATTTGCTTTTTTGGTCTTTTTGAATACACGTTGAAAAGCATTACGGTCGCTGACTGGGAACTCGATTGGATCCATATAACTACAAGTCGCTGAAGGCCACTCGGGTACAGGAAGTTGTGGATCAAGTTGTTGCATGAGCTTGGTCAAGGTTTGTCGTAGATTGTCGCACGTTGTTGAAGGAATGCACACATGGTATTCTCCCGTTGTTGTCTCCTTGGCTACCAACCGTTGTCAATGACCAGGATGCGATGACAACGTTCTCTTTTACCTTGGTAGAGAAGAATTGTTTGACCACGACTGAATAGATTTCGCGCATCGAAGAAAGCTTGGACTGCCAAAGAAGGAGTACGACCTAGAGCTTGATACTGCTTTGTCCACGTGTCTTGAACAACTCTCCACGCAATATAGCTGCTATCCATCAGAGAGGAAATCGTATTCGTACAAGAGAAACACAATGAATAAAGAGAACCTCTCGCTGACTTTTTTGTTTCATTAACCAACCACCACCACCTCCTCCCTTCCCCCATTTATCATAACGCATTGACAACTCCTTTGGTACATTTGCTTGAGAATAGATTCAAGTTGATGTCGAAATACGCATCATGTGCCTTTTGGGGGCAACGGAATATGCAGGTACAATAAGGAACCTGAGAGCGCGCATTGTCCTACTATAATGAATACAAGATTGCGCCCTGACTTTTTCCCTCCCACACACACCGTGGTATACATACACACACGCACACACACACACACACACACACACACACACACACACACACATTCATCTGCTAGTTCAATTGGGTTGCCTTTAATGAATGTTGAGATAATATCCATCAAACAAGTTTTGCATGGCATGAGACGTGTAACAGCCTTCTTGTGGAAAAATGGTCCCATCAGCAGGGATCCAGATGTTCTACTATAATATTATCCCGATCGTTTGCATGATCATATCCAATTATAGACGATATTTAACGACGTACAACCGTTATACGAAAATATGTACGTGTGAGTAAGTGAGAGAGAAAAAAGGGTGAAAAGACATTGCCTTCTTTTGTGCATGCTGTCATACCAACGAGCTGCATAACCCCGGATTGTTGTGCGACAAAAGGTCTGAGATCCGTTCACCCATTCCAATGGATGAGCCACGCTCGTCAACGTCGACCCATTAGTAGATAGGTCTTGTATACTGAAAAAGGTGTAGTGCTTTCGCAACGTGCGTCGTCACTGTGGCGTGCTTGTCAACAATGAGCGATACTCTTCCACACATGGTTAGGTCAACGTATCCAATCCTAGAGATCAAGATACATACAACAACGATCCAAGTACAATAAAAAAAAGTGATCTTGTGCAAAGCATGTGTGCGTACGGGTGGTGTGATTCTGTCATTGATTGATTGATAGCTTGTAACCGATCGATCTTTTCGATGTGTCCATTGCACCTGAATAACATGCTTTCATCAAAAAATAGGAAATGTTGCTTTAATGGGATAAACAAAACAGGGTCGCTGGGTGAGAGATGGCATACCTGAAGATGTAAAGAAGGGTGACACAATCTTGCAAGTATGGTGCTATCGTACGCTACACCACAATGCATTACATACCAGCATGCATCCAACACGCAATTAGTGTGCCCCAACAATAGAAGGTCTCGTACATTTTTTTGTTCACTATGCAAGGAGAAAAGCATATGTCGCTTTGCTGCTGCCAGTTTTGTCGACCGTGAGTACGTATGGGGAAGACGCGTAAGATGGGATCAAAAACTGCACATGTAAACTTGACTTCTTCCCATGACACAAGGTTGTATGAATATGCCGGAACGCATTGAAAACACGCAGCATCACGATCACAGGTTGTACAAAGTACTTTGTCGTGTACGCATTGTTCATCCGGTGTACGTACGTAGGTTGCATCACAAAGAGCCCACTCTGCACCGATACACACGCACACGATCAATGATCGTATAACGTTACGGGAGTCTCGAATAAAGAAATGCCGTCGATGGTTACCTTTTCAAAGAGCAATTGACATTACAATCGTAAAATCGGGTGTAAAAAGGAAATGATGTGGCCCGACGAAACATATAAAAGACATCGAGTTGAAGCAATTTGAGGATTCGATATTCCAATCAACAATCTATTCTCCTCTTCAAAGCTCCTTGACATCAACAAAAATGAAGTTCACTGCCATCTTTGCTCTTGCTGCTCTCACTGCTGGTAATGAGAAAACAAGGTCAATGCTATTATAATAGACACACTGATGATTTTACATTTCCTTATGCAGTCAATGCCCTTGCTCTCGATCGTCGTGGTGTTCCCGAATGTGCTGCTGGCTTGACTCAAGTGCAAAGCCAATTGGATGTGGTCACCACGGGTGTCAACAACTGGAAGGTGTCCGATGGTTATGCTGGTGCCCTCAAGGTGCAAACCGAGGAGACCAAGCTTGAGAAGAATCTCGATAGCGCAAAGTCAGCATGCACCATCTCTGGTACCGTTTCCGAGGCTGATGCTGATACCATTCTTGCCCAAGTCGATACCCTTGTCCCCAAGGTGGAGACTGCCCTTGACAGCCTTGTCCAAAAGAAATCCGATTTCGATCAAGTGTTGCTTGTCACTGCTCTCGTCACCAAGGATATCAAGAACCTCAAGACCAAGACCGATGCCCTTGACAACGCTCTCCTTTCTGCCACTCCCGCTTCCTACAAGGACCGTGCTAATGCCTATGTCAAGCGCATCAATGATGCCTTTGCTGCTGCTTACACCGCCTATGGCATTTAAATGTTCAGCATGCCATATCGCTTTCCCCAACTATTGATATATCTAGTAGTTAATCACCGCTGTTGTGCTCTCTGCGGGTTGAATAAAGATACATCTTATCATAAAAGTCACATGGTTACTGTCATTTGTGGTCAATTCAATTGCTTTACTTTTATCCAATCCAATTACAGCTATCGACATATGTATGAACACTTTATTCATGATTTTGACTTATGTATAGGGATTCAATTTAGCGTCTGGTCTTTTTGCGTGGAGCTGCATCTTGAGGAGCACCATTGCGTTTGAGTTTGCGTTCATCGGCTAAGAACGATAGCGTTAGCTGCAATGGATCTCAACCCGGATTCATTTGTATACATACCTTTTCGTGCCTTCTCTTCAAGCTCGTCCCAATCTACAAAATGAAAAAGTTTAGATTCATGCGTGTGAGGATTAGCATGTAATTACTTACCATCACCAGAGTCTGAAAGTTCTTCCTCTTCCATTGATTCATCAGATGCTTCGGATGCAAAGTCGCTCTCGTCGTCGCTTTCACTTTCTTCAAATTCTTCCTCACTCATTTCGAACTCGCTAGCAGACTCGGATTGATCTTCAGCATTTTCATCCTATCGATGATGCAAAATAAGGTAAGTTTCAAGCACTCATACATAGCCGATTATCGATGCTTACATCACTGCCAGGGCCCAAGAAATTCCAACCACCGTTTCTGTAAAATTCTGCAGGGTCCTCATTGACGGTCTTCATAATCATACTCCAATTGAGGTTGACTGGGCCTTCTTCAAATGCTACCTCCACAGAGCTGGTACATTGGTGTTAGCCAACTTTTTCATGTAAACCTCACACACAACAACTTACTCAAGCCAATCCTTGACGTTATCCAGCTGTGACATGGGAATGGTGTTGATGTGGATAGGTGTGCGATGGAAATCCTTAAAGACAAAGACCATATCAAAGTTCTTCAATCCAAATTGTACACGTTCCAAGTGAGCAATTTCAATTTCGCTCAAGGTGATGATCAAGAAAGGTGGATCCGACAAGTGAACAAGACAATCGGTTGTGGGTTGCAACAAGACATTCGATCGGAATGGCACACCAGTGAAACCAAGTTCTCGGAATGGCACATCCACTTCGATACGACCATCGCTCTATCACACTCAATTAGAAGATACATCCAAGTACAATAAACCCACCACCAGAGAGAGACACACTTACAGCTTCTGAAATCTTTTCGGCAAATGACTTGAATTCACGATTGAGATTGGCTCGTCGTCGTCGTTCTTCTTGTTCTTGTTCCAATTCGTCCTCGTCACCATACAAGTGCCTCCTTCGCTTATTACCCGTCTCATCGTATTGGATGTCTGATGCTTCACGGTAGAATTGGATATCCTAAACATATGGTATCAGCATACCTCATCCATCACCATGCCGTGTTCATTTTCATACTTTGGTTTTCTTTTTGCCGATAAGGATGGGGTTTTTGAAATGGACGTGGATCAGCACTAAGAGCTCATTGTCACAAGGCTGGAAGAAGAGATGCTTGACATTGCTGAACAAGACGTCTGGAAACAATAAAACCAGTTGAATACACCATGATCCACATGTACAATGAAATTTCACTTACTGAAGGAGTTATCCGATTTGATAGATTGATAGCGGATACCATTGGTATGAATCTCCAATTCGCCTGGTAATCGCTTACCATCCAATTGGGGCCGAACGTAGACATCACCCAATCTGTGTGGACGACGTCCCTTGATAGGAATAAGATCTTCTTGTTCAATGACATCAGCCATCTCCTTGCGTTCAGCTTCCTTTTTGGCGGCATCCTTTTTCAAATCCATGATCTGACGGTAAACTTCAGCCATACGATAGGTATCAGCACTTCGGAAAGTCAAGGCACGGACAAAGGTAGCATTAGCATCATGGAAAGGCTATATATAGATAGAAATGATCAGTCTTTGGATCATCATCATTATTCACCCTCATTGTACATACCAAATCTTCCTTCTTGCCACCTGCTTGACCAGGGGTTAAAAAGTTGAGACGTAGCATAACGAAATCGCCTTCATCACTCTTGCTTGCATTCTTCAATGTGCTGATATGGAAAGGTACTGCCATGCCGTACATGGGGAGGATAATACTCTCGTTTCTCTTGTCCACGTGGATCTATTATTCAAAGGTTAATATGATAAAGAAGTATTGTATGTAGAATACTTTACCTTGAGATCGCGAACTTCACGAGGTAATTTGGACTCTGAACGATAACTCTCAAATTTGCGGAACTTGGGCTTGTTTTCATCTTGATCTGTGCCGGATTGGCCTGAGAATTTTGCAAGACCTTCAGCAAGCTTTTGTGCAAAGAGCTTCTTTTGGTGTTCTTTGCGCTTTTGCTCACGCGACTCCTCATCTTGTTCCTCGCTGCGGAATTTGCTACGCAAGATAGCGGTTTTGGCGGGTGCTTCCTTCTTGACAGCCTTTGCTTCAGCGCCACGACTTGTCTCAGCATCATCGTCACCCTTGATAAAGTAGGAGATCTCATTGATCTTTTTACTGCAGTCGGTGAATACAATAGGGGCATCGTTGTTGACGCGAATGGTGTCGATGAGCAATAGCGAATAATTCTTGCTGCGCTTGTCTGTTGGCTTGGGGTTCTCCAAATCGGCAAAGCCAATGGATAAGTTGAGCACCATGCCGTTCTTGAGTTCACGTACGTTCTTGGCATTGAGGACATAGTTGGTCTCACGGAACTCGATACCCATACCAAAACCAAGCGTCTTTGTCAAATGCTTCTCAAGGTCAGGGCGCTTGGCTTTGACATAATCCACAGCATGCTGATAAATGTCCCGCACTTTGGCACCGTCACGAATCGTTTCCATCACCTTGCCTTGCAACTCGAGAAGGAATTCATAATTCTTTTCTTGGGTCTTGTTGGGATCGATCAAAAAGGTACGACCAATGTTGGAGCAATAGCACTTGTAACGAATACCCAACGAGCACATAATGACACCAGCATGAAGGGTTTGGGTGTTGGACATGGCTGAAGACTTGAGATCATACTCGCCACCACTCTGCACAATAGGACTGTAGCACCAATCAATATCAGCCTTATCAACCTATATCACTCATAGTTAGTATACATGTATACACACAACCATCGTTGATGTACGTACCCCATCTGGAAGACGTAATTTCTTAAATAACTTGGGATCATCAAGGATGCCTTCAGTTTCCTCAGAGAGCTTTTCATGGGTGACAGAGCGCTCCTCATCAATGATGGTCGACATCTCATCAATGAAATAGTACTTCATAACATTGGAACTGAGTTTGGAGGCCGTTTTCATTGTTCGCTAAAAGAGAGAACAAACAATGTCAAATGATGATCCAAAACACCCATAATGAAAGACGCTCAAACGTACCACTTCTTCATCATCCTTGACGGCCAAGCAGGCTGACAATGCTGCAGTGATCTCAACTTCTTCAAACTTCTTGCCAGATGACTCGAGTGCCTTGGTCCATTCTTGCACATTCTTGCCAGTAAACTTGTCTTTACCAACAGTACCCACGCGTTTCTATCATAAAAGATCACATGAATACCTTCAAAAGGACTGTGTGTATCTTTTTGCATCACACTTACGCCATCCAATTCTTCAATGATAGGCTTGTACAAATTGACATTCTCTTCAACATCCTTGCTACGACGAATCACCTCAATAGGAACTTGCTTGTCTCCTTTCTTGAGCGTCTCGAGAATATCGGCTAATTCAATCCTTGTCAACAACCCATCATACCATCATTCATTCTTTGGATATCCTACCTTTCTTGGCACTGCACACAAAGGTTGCTTTCTCGGGTGTGAGCATGATCAAAGTTTGATAGATCGGGATACCCAAAAGCCAAGTCTATATCACACACATACGCACATATGAATAGATCCATTCGTAATCATGATCCACGATAGCACCAACGTCATGGATGCCTTCCGTTCGCTTACCTCAGCGGTCACTGACTTGCGGTATGGGTTATCATAGTCGTCGTCACCAATGAGCAAGAGAATCGCATCGGTTTGTTGAAAGAGATTGGCATTGGTGGGACTCTGTCATGCACAAGAAAAGGACGTCGTTAGTGGTGGTCGTGTGAATGCTGCAACGGATTCCAAAGGATCCTTGCGAGATCGTCGTCCAAAGAAGGGGGAAAATAACGATTCAAGCAGAAATCCTAGAGATGAACATGAAGAATGAGGACTCACCTTCCACTGAGAAATGAGGAACCGCGCTCTCCTGTGAAAGCGTTTGGCATCAAGTTCAACAGAAGCCATGTGGATTAGCAAAGTGTGTGTTGAAAGCGAGAGAAGGAGACGCTTGAAAAAAGTCGCGGTTGCTGTATATAGCGCGAAATTTGGATGCGCGCAGCACCACCACCAGACCTTGAATGTCATCCATCCCCATTGAAACCTATGCAATCATGTCAAATAAACACCCATTCATGAATGCCTGGCACATCAATCAATCAATAAAGTAGTCCAATGACCCCACTCTTATATACGTATAAAACTTGAGAGGCTCTATACTTTTTCTTGACACGTATAACTTTTATCCATGATGGTTAAAAAGATTGATGCATGAAAACATTTATTACGGCAGGTATCAACCATGCTAGAAAAAGAAAAGAGGATGATTGTATATGTATGTATTCAAATGCTTGTGTATAGTGAATGTGAAAAGAAAATGTACAAATGATGCTGCTATAATCACTCGACCTTGTCACTCGTTGTTGACGTTGTTGTTGTTGTCATCGTTGTGGTGGTAGTGGTGGAGGTGTGCTGTTGTTGCTGTGATTCATAATCGATCAGCCCTTGCTGTTGCTCATACTCGATAAGGATAGCAGCGTCTTCTTTTTCTTCCTTGGCTAACTTTTCTAGTCGATCATTCTCCATCTGCTGCATCGCAAAATTCCGCAGCCCAGCAAGTGCATTGGTATAGTTTCCATACGTCTGACATAAAGGTCGCACCCATTTTGACAGTTGTGAGACATTGCGTGTATAAGTAAACCTTTGCTCGAGCAAAATGACAGCACCCCAATCCTAAAAACATGTAAATCATCCTCATCATACACATACACATTCATCCATGATCATACCTTTCGATGCCGAATACAGCGTCCCAGCGCCTGATTGATGGCTAAAACGAAAAACGGCTTGTTGGTATTAATCCCATAATGATGAACATGAAAGAGACTCACCTCGATAAGCTTGGGTGTTGTACCTGCAAATACAAGGGACCATGATGGATTAGTCACCTGAGCCCTAGCATCATCCCGTTATTGTATCAACTCACCATTCTGTGCCGTCAAGCACTTGGTCACCTTTCTTGTATCGTGCATTATTGTAATCCCGTTTAAGCTCTATTTGAAGATCCTTGCTGGAAAAATGTATGAGCATGTGGATGGAAACGACTAGCTATCCTTTTTTCTCACTTACAAGTTTGGAAAGGGAATGCCAAGTGTGACAACGGCACGGCAATTGTTGTCGGTAAAGTCGATGCCTTCGCTGACTTTTCCTCGATAAACCTAGGAGCCTACGTTAGCTTAATGACATTCTTGGCGCTTGCCTATCATCCAACTTACAGCAAACATGAGCGCACCATTCTTGCCTTCTTCCGGTAGTTCTCGTAAGCCTTCAACTTGGCTAATGCAACTGTAGTATTGGCTAAGCAGCATCTCAAATGCTTTCTTGTTCCCTCGTCCAGGAGGTTCTAAAATGAATCATGCCATTAGTGTCATTCGCCCGTCAATCACATCAAAACGAGCCGTACCACAAATGATATGTTTGCGTCTCTCCATGCGCTCGTAAATGCCAGTAATCTAATAGTAGAAGAGGATGTTTAGAAAGACCCAATTCCAAATTTGCGTGACCCCAACGACCTACCCTCCACCGATCGATAAGCTTATCCATGGTCTGATAAGAAGGAACGAAGCAAAGAACGCCGTATGGAATAGTCTCAGCAATCTCACATATCGCTATTCATCATTCTATTAGTATACAGTTGTAGACAAATGATATGTGTATACCTTGTCCCACTGAATCTTGATATGAAAATTGGGATACTTGATTCCATGTGCCATAGAGATTCACTTGGCCAGGTCTATATGAAATCAGCCATTGAATACATCCAAAATGGTACAAAGTCAAAACACAACATACCCAGTAGGAACAGAAGAAATCCATACTTGAGACTTGTCAATGACATGGTTGGCTTCAAGGCGGATAGGGCTACAAAGAAAAAGTGCGTAAATGGGTAATTCATGCGAATAAAGTTTTGTGACACCTACAACTCGGTTTGTAATTCGGAAGCGAACGTATTTAGCTATATCATTGTTATCCACATGGTTAGTATCACATGATCCATGACCAAGACAATACTCACAGGAGAGAGTGTGCCGCTTGTAAGAACGACAGAATGCACCTGTTCAGCGATTTCATGAAACGAGACGCCGGGATTCTGGCACCTAGTACGCCCATTATTAGCCCACACTCATACGCACGCCACATTCGTTGGATGCTTACCAAAATGCAAGTTTTGCCGTCCATGGAGCATCTAATTAAAGGCATTAGCAGATGATATTGCTTTTTGGGACATAGAGGTATATACAAACCTGTGCGAGGAGTAATAGGTGCATTGCGGCTAATCCGTTCAATGATTGCCATAGTGTAGTCGTTTCGAAAATCACGACCCTCTTTGTATATATAACCAAGAACCAAGAACAAGCCTAGCATCCCAAAGATGAATATGAATCCACCATTAAACCAAATGCTTGCTTACCTTCCAACACTCTTAGAGATTTCAACGTGAGGCATTTTTGGCTTTTCACCTCTTCTTCTTCTTTTTCATCTTCTTGCTGCTCGTCTTCTTCTGGTTCCTTTGCCCGCTCACTCTCATTCTTAAAGACCTCCTCCACATGTTCGTAAACGAGCGCAAAAGCTTCCTTGAGAACCATGTTGTGATGTGTTTCGCCCACTTTTCCTTTTTCCAAAGCCTGCAGCATCTTTTGACCCGACCAGCTACAAAAGAGAGCAAGCCGATGGTAAGATCTCTCGCGATAGAGAGAGGAGATGTGCTTGTAATACTTACACGTAAATGTGTTCCTCGTAATTGTCACGCTTTAAATTGTACTCCTCTGGTCTTTGAATAAAGTCTTCTAGGGTGCCTGCCATCTTGAAAATGAATCAGCGTGATATTCCTCAAAGCCATAACTTAACAACCTTACCACTGAAAGTGCCTCATAAGCTGCACAAAGCCCAACATTGGCCTTGACCTTGCGATCACGCAGCACCCATTTGAACTCCTTCATCAGAATCCTCAAGTCGGTGTCGGTTGCTTCAAAAGACGCTGCCGAGCGTGCCGCATCTTCAATGTTGTGTGCTATAGGATACATGTCAACATCCAAAGACAAAATCCCAAAACTGCTAATGATAGTCACCTTCATCAAGGATAACAATGCTTCCTTCCAAATTGATATTCATAGCTTTTCTGATAGCTGTCATAGGGCATGGGTCAATACACAAGAACAAAGCACAGCATTGTAGTTCTTACATGGCTCGAGGATATAGTTGTATGGGCAAAAGATAAGATCGGCAGATTCCGCCATTGTTCGTGAAGAAAAGTACGGGCATCCTATGGGGTTCATTGTTAGCACACTGTAGCCCTCCCATCTCACACACACAATGAAACCTTTACCTTCTTTTGCTCGACCCAGCTCAATCAAATCCTCGATATCCCAAATTTCCAGATCACCACCAGGGCGTACCTTGGGATGGCTGACAACCTTGTTCACGTTGTTTGCAAATCGACATGCATTGGCATCCAAAAGCAACCGGCTATGGAATAGTTGGTATGAGAGATATGCATTGACAATGAGCTGTTGTTGGCATTGCTTACCATTCCTCATTCTTGTCGTATGACTTGGCCACCGTCTTGTGAACTACAAAGATCCATTAGTACAGAATCCCCATGTATTTGGCTATCGGATACTTGCTGCAATATTGTTCACGGCTTCCAAGGATGGACATTTCTAATGTAAGTAGCACGATAGTATCAGCACCCGCTTAACGCAATGAGATGGCATTCTACTTACTTGGCCTATATCTTGTATTTCCTTTCAATTCACCCACAAGCTGTGCCAATTGTTTGTGACTAATACATAGATAATGAATAAACTTGATTGCACGTATCAAATGATCCATCCATACATACGTTCGACTTCCAACAAAGATCTTGGGGATGCGTTGCTTTGGCCTGGATTTATTGTGCTCTTCGACTCTTTTCAGGAATTCATGTAGCTCCTCTCCATCCTCGAGCTGAATAGGTTGTGATTCATCAGGTTCTTTTTTTGCTTGTTGCTGGTGTAGCTGTTGTTGTATCACCCGTGGTATCTTTACAGGTCGAAAATCATCATCTTGGTCATGATCGTCGGATGGTGAGGGTGATGAAGAAGGGGATGGCTGTTGTCGTTTCGTGCCTCCGGATGATTCATGATGATCCATGTCGGTATCCAATGATATTGTTGGTTGACTGATTTCCTCATCATCACTGATAACAATCGCTTCTTGTGCTGTTGATGAAGGTGGTGGAGGTGCTGATTGTATGGAAGCCAATGTGTCTTGAATCAATTTTGCATCTTCCAATCGTTGTTTCTCATCCTCGATCCTCAGCTTTTCTTTCTCGTATTCTCGCCATGCTATAAAGATAACATGTTGAGTACACAATCCATGCCAATGGGTGTGTTGTTGTTTACCCAATGCTGCGCATAAAATAGCCAATGATTTTCCCGAGCCTGTGACACACAACGTGGACGTCAAATGCATACATTAGATCTTGCATATATCTCTCTCGGGTACAACCCCCGTGCCACTCCAAACATCAATACCTGTTGGACTTTCCAGTAACGCATTCTGCTTCTTTTTGAGTGCTTGGATGATCTAAATCATGTGGATGTATGAGTTACACATAGATACGACGCGTTTTTTTTGCACGCGTAACACACGCGTATCCTTGGTTACGTTACCTTGACCATCATTTGCAGTTGCGCCGGGTCTGATATGAAAATGAACGCTTACTGTGAATAGGGCTGCTGCTGCTGTTGTCACGCACGCGCGAGTTTGCCAATGGAGCATTAACTTACAAGGCTGGAATGGGAATTCGACAGGGACACCACCCATTGGGAACGTCTTCATTGGTGTGTCGTGGCTACGTTTGGTAACCTTGGCTGGTCGTGCAGGAAGGAACGACAATGTAGATTGCAGTGGTTCGATCAAGTCGATATTGGAAATCATGTCGCTGTCCTCTTCATGTTCAAAGCCTGAAGACCCTGCTCGTCGTCGATTGCGATTCTGTGGCCTCCGATTGCTTTTTTTGCCGTTGCGTTGTGTCATTATAGGGTGGTGGAGTGTGTATACGGAAGTAGAAAGAGGGGTTGTAGAAAGCGTAAAGCGAAGAATGATCGGTTGTTGTGGTATCTCTCTCTCTCCCAACAGCGACAAATAAATGATCGAGTCGTTGACAAAGAGCAAGACACATTGTATTCTTGATAATTAAAGCAAAAGACAATGAAGCAAAATGAGGGAAATGTGGCCTGTCGATCCATCACAGGCTAATACAGTTTTACTGGAGACACACATATAATGCCAACAATGATGTCTGTGCATTCCTATTCTCTATTGGCATTCATGCCACGGATATCTTGCCATGTCAGGTTGAGTGATGTGAATGTTCAATTACATCATTGAGGACGTCCAAGGTAGGCAACATGTGGTTGCCTCGGCTAAAAGATCGTTGCCACAAGATCCATCACTTTATGACATCGTCGTCAATGAGCGTATCCATAGATATGGTGACAGCTTATGCAAATTGAAATTTGTTGGGGGAAAGAGATGATAGGGTACATTGTACATACATAGTAGAGGATTTGCCAGGTACAACATGATTGTCTTGGCTTCCTTTTATCCGGGGGAGGGATCAAAGGAGATGAATGATGATGGTATAAAGTGCCACGCACCTCATGGCAAATGTAGATTGATGAATGATAAATAACCACAACCATGGGTCTCTCATACATGCTGTGATGATGTCTGTGTGCCCAAACAAAGTATGCCGTGATGATCCCAGGAACAATCTTGTGTAATCCAAACCGGTTGACTTTATGCAAAAGAAAAAAAAAGCAGCTTAGCTTCTTCACGCCATGTGCTGGTTACGTCTCAAGTATTATCGTCTCGTTTCTTGAACATTGTCAATGACCGATGAGATGTGATGAAACATTATCAAATGGTTGTATAAATAGAGAGCTATGGATGGGGGTGGTTGTGCAAGTCGATTTAAGCTTCCGGACTAAAGATCCTGTCGACGAGGTGGTGGGTCGCATAGTATGATACGTATTGCTTCATATCTAACACCTTACGTGGAAAAAGAGACAAGGTGCCCCACGTATGCATGATGCAGTGATATGCCCGTTGATGTGCATGATGACTTGATTCTCCTTTGCATCACCTTTTTTCTTTCCCTCCGTACGTACACATCAAGCAAATGGTTGGCCTTGGAATGTGACACACACACACACACATGAGCTTATTATCTATCATATGGGTTATCGCTTCATGTCATAAAGATGCCTTGTTGTAGGTAGGTAGGAAGGGGAAAAGAAGAGTATGTATCATGCAAGTGGCGCCGAGACGACTCCTCGCCTATGGCCGATGATCTTGTTTTTGCATGGTTACAAGGTCACAATGACCATCGTTTTGCATGCATTTTTCCATCACGGACATGGTGCAACCATGCAGCTTTGTTTGCCTCGGCTGCATTCCCACACACGCGTGCACCTTCTTATATATGCACATGCATATACACCAAGATGTGTTGCGTGAGTGATGGGGTCACGTTCGTGTTTTTCTTTTACCCCACAACATAAATGCACATGCACCCGCTTGTATGTAGATTGCTGCAATAACAACTTTTTTCCCACTTAAAGTACCAAGTGATAGACACACACTCTCTTTACGGAGAGAGAGAGAGAGAGAGCAAAAGATAGGAAACCAGGGGTTAGGAACCACGTGGCTATTTGAAACATGGCAGCCAAATTGACAAGATTGGCTGTGATGGTGGGTGAATGATATTGTACTCTGTTCTATGCTGGTTCCTTAATCTGGGGCTTTATGCAATGCTTCACAAAAAGAGTATGGTTGGTATGAAGATACAGGGGGTCCCACCAAAGAATGGCCAAGTTAAATATATACATGAATGACTCTATGGCTACAAGATGTGTGTGTATGTGTATGCGTTTGTGGGGATCGGCCGATACCCTTGGTGTTTTGGAGTTGTTGGTTACGGTGCGACCTATTTTGTGAGACGTGTTACAAAGCCTAACCTTATTCTGCAAACAAAAGTGTAAACTTGCAATAATAAATGAAGGTGCATTTGGGATGAAAAGAGCACAAGGGTGGCGCATGTGGATGATAATAACGATGAATAAGGCAAAGTATAAAGAGTCAGGAGATTGTATAATGGATTTGAGTAAATGATGTGATATGTGTGCTATTCATCCGAGGCAACCAAAGAACGACGATTGGGTGGTTTGTGTGCGATTTCGGGTCCGGGCGCGCGCGCGTGCGTGCACCAATGCCCGCCAAGAACATGGCAAATGGCTCGCATGGGGGACCCAGAACAAGTAATTTCAAGTGGAGCACCACTGTCAAGGCGGGGGGTTAAAGGAATGAATGCCAAGGATACAAAAGCGTGTGTGTGTATGTGTAAAGATGAATTAGCTGTTACTATTGATGAAATATGGTTCAAACAATGGTAATAAAGCATTAACAAAGAACAAGAGCGGTCCCTGCTGCTGATACTTTTGGGTCATGCCACGTGGGAATGGTGTGTGTGTATGTGTGTGTGTGCGTCTAAGAGAGAGAATGTGTGTGTGTGTGTGTAAAAAGTAATAGGAAAAAGGCATGCATCACCCTTATTTTTCTGCAATCGCTTATCATAAGCTTACCATTTACTTTCTCTCTCTCTTTTTTTTTTCTTTTCTTACACTTAACTTGCACTTGTCTCTCTATTTTGTATCACCGTAGCTAACCTCACCTTACCCTTGCACAAAAAAAGAAACGCCCATCCTCTCTTGTCTCTTTTTGCTCTCTTGTCTCTTTTCCCCCCTTTCTCTCTTTTTTCTTTCTTTATTGCTACTGCATTTTAATATCGCAAGTCGATAACGACGTTATTGTTTTCCTCCTCATTCTCGAAGCTTATCGCTTGCTCTCTATTCTTGCACTCCAATCAGCAACCAACAGATCACACGAATCGAGTGTGTTGTGCGCGAGTGTCTTCGATTCAATCATTCGTTCTTCACCATGGACCCGCTACATTGCTCTGTTGTTGTATGTTATCAACCAGCACCCACACCGTACATCCTTGACACTATCGCACCCTACGAATACAATGATCAACAGCCATCGTATACGCCGTTGCTGCAATCCGTTTTCGGAAAAGGTTAGACACAATTCACGCCTCTACGCACATGGAGGTATCCACGTTGTTATTGTCTGCTGATACACACATACAAACACGCACATTCTCTAGTCTTTATACATTCAAATCCAACAGATGCCCTGGAACAAGTAAAACAGCATGAATCACCCACCATTTTATTGCTTGATCTCGATGCCACCACCATCATCAATGACGATAATGACGATGATACTGTATATACCCCTTCATGCTCTTCGTCATGCTCCACAGCCTCTTCTTCTTCAGCCGCTGTCAATGATACCCGTATCGCATGGATCAGAAAATCAAGTCGTGAATTGGATCAACATTCGATCGATGTCCCTATCATAGGTAAAGAGAGTGTGTGTGTGTGTGTGTGAACGATACGCGTCCATGTAATAACATGTCATTTAGCTTGTTCTACCAACGATGATACCGCATTCATGCTCGATTGTATCCATGCAGGTGCTGTGGATTATTTACTCAAACCGCTCCATATGGATGTCATCAAGACTATGTTCCTGGTATGTGTTTTATAGTTACCCCCTCCCCCAACATATTCTCTGTCACTGACACTCACACATATCCTCTTTTCTCTCTTTCTCTCTTTACGCAGAAACTGCACAGATCCCGACATGATTCAAAAATGCACCAAGGTACAACAACAACAGCACCTGCACCGCCCTTTTTATCCAACAAGACGACTACATCACCAACAACAACAACGGGTTGTCAGGATGGAAACAATGATGGCACCTCGACATGTTTATACCCTGACAATCATCCTTTGGATATCAATGACGATGGTCTTCAAGTGCGCATCAAGGAAATCTTTAACAAAGACGATCGGTAAGGGGCTCGGGCCAAGACAATGGGGGGGAGATTGTGTGTATGTGTAATTTGGGGGAGAGAAAAAGTCATCGTCATTATGAGAGAGAGTGGCAAAGGAACGAAAAAAAAATGAGATCATGGAACTCACGCCACTTTACAGGTTCACCCAATCTTTGATGGCTATCTATGCTAATCAACGCGTCCCACGCACAAGACATCATCGGGGATTGTCAAGGTAAATAGCGAGTGTTCTTTTTTTATTGCGCTTTTGGGGGAGGGGATCAAAATCAGTGTCAGTGTATTATGTATGTGGGTGGGTGTGGACGGGCCAACGGAAAACGCACACACCACTTTTTTTCTCTTGTCCTCATCCTCCTTTCTCCTACTCTCCCGCCTTGGGTTTCTTGTGTCTCCTTTTTTTGCCAATCCCCCATTTCGCTGATCTCTCTTTTATTCTTCTTTGTAGTGAACGAGCATCATTACTGAGACACAAGGTTTCCAGCTGGGATTTCAATCCTTTTGAGTTTGGGCGCGACGATCTTATCCATTGCTCCTATTTAATCTTTGAACAAGTGCTGGTGTCACCTGAGTTACCGTACTCTTCCATCACTAACGGTAAGCGGGAATACGAAAAGCTGGGAGGAGGAGAAATCTAATTGATCCTATGTATTCTTTAGACCAATTGTATGATTTCATTGTTGATCTCTCGGGTGCCTACCACAATGGCAATCCTTATCACAACTTTGCCCATGCTGTGGATGTGCTCCAATGTGTATATTATTTTCTTTGTTCTTTGGGTGTGGTATCCTTTGCCAACAGTAGTCACGTCAACATGATGGAACAAGATCCCTTGTTACCGTCGCCACAGCAACGTACGCGTATGCAACATTTATTACAGCCCAAACACGTCTTTGCTCTATTGACTGCAGCCCTGGGTCACGATGCTGCTCATCCTGGTGTCAACAATGTATTCTTGGTAAGGTGCACTGGATGTTTTGCGTATTCCCTATTTTGGTGATGCTCACATTATTTATGTTGTTAGGTAAACACATCCTCTCCATTGGCACTCCTCTTCAATGACCGATCGGTGCTCGAAAGTTTTCATTCTATGGCACTCTTTCAAATCATGAAGAAGCATGGATTTGATCGTTTGGGTGATGGTCCTGGTTCTACTGATTATCAAGGTAAAAATAAAGGGAGAGAGGAAAAGAAAAAACATGCAATCATGTTCCCATGTGATCTCTTTTGTTTACACACCACATGATGTTTTCTTTCTTTTAGAGTTTCGCAAGATTGTAGTGTCAAGCATTTTGGCAACCGACATGTCGTTGCACGGCGACTATGTGGAAAAGATCAAGACGCAGGCGTCACGTTTAGCCAATGTCAATGTGCATACGATGGATCCAGCTACACTTGAAAATGAACGACTTTTGATATGCAGTGCATTAATCAAATGTGCCGATATTAGCAATGTGGTATGTGTGTATATGAATGGAAGGATGCACCTCGCATGTAGTCTAATGTGATGCTTTCTCTTTTTAGACACGGCCGTTTTTACGAGCGGTCAAGTGGGCCGAATTGCTTGTGCAGGAATGTGTTCAACAAGGTGATCTGGAACGTGCTATGGGCATGCCGAGTGTACCGATGAACGACCGTGACAAGGTGATTCTCGAAGATTCACAAATTGGCTTTATTAAATTTGTGGCTCTGGAACTCTTTGACAGTGTTCGACAAGTCATGCCTGGTAAGTTGGGTGCATACATGAATCGAATAGCTGTATTAAGTGTGCGTGTCTTTAGAAATGTCATTTACGGTTGAATACATACGAGAGAATTTAAAGCGATGGGAGCATCGAAAACAGTGTACAGCAGAAGAGCAACAACGACAACCACCACCCACATCCACAACAACAACAACCACTTCAAGCATGATGACCAAAACCGATCATGTGATGGTGGGATGTAAACGACGAAGCAGCAGTTTGGATTACAAGGCAGTTGAAGTCCTTCGAAAACGATTATCACTGGAAAATGGACGACATGTGGATACCGTACGACGACGTGGAAGTGCCGGTTCGGTAACGGATCGTCGGTTTTACAAGCTACAACCTGCATATGCACGTCTTGACCACGAGGTAACAACACCTGAGACAGCAGCAGCAGCAGCATCCTCGCCTTCTTCAGAATGGTCACACGATGATCCCGTGCATTGTCAGTGCGCTATCCAGTAATGATCCTTCTCCACCCTCCACACCTCCTTTTCCATCTCATAATTAGCATTCACTCACTCACTCACAACAACAACAACTCATTATCATTTTTATCTTTGCATATGCATTCATCTCATATCATATCTCCTTGTACTTTTTTCACACACACACACACACTCACTCTCACCCTCACTCACATTCTGTTGTACAAATTGACAAAACTTGTTGTACAAGTGTAGTTCATTGTAGAAAAGAAAAAAAGGAAAAACAACTAGATCAATAGCCAAAGCACAAATATGGGATATAACAAAAAGTGAAAAGAAAGAGGAGGGGTTGAGAAGAAGGGGTGTCGCGGGGTGAGGAAAGAAGAGGACGCATACAACATAAGGCATACAAAGGAAGAAAAGGGAGGGGGATAGTCGCAAAACAAGTGAAAGAATAATCATAGTTATACACACATAGAATAAAGAACATGGTGGTATGTTGGGGACGATGATTTGACAAAGAAAAAAAGGGAAGCGCACAGAGCGAGAGAGAGAGAGAATGGATAAAAGAAAGCGGTGGGAGTATACTTCAACCGAAACGATAATAGTGATTAGTCTTGTAGACGATGGCACCATCCCCTCGGACCAGCAAGATGGGTAATTGGAAACCACCTTCAGGACCATGATCCAAATGCAAAGAGGTCACTAATTCATGTCTTGGTGGGAGGTGACACAAGCACAATTCACGGCCTCTGTATTCGAGATGAGGAGCCTTGACATCCGCAAACCATACTTGCATATCGCGTGTAAAGTTTTCTCCATGAAGGGTCATTGTCAAGTTGTTGCTGTTGTTGTTGTTATCTTGTTTCTTGTCGTCGCCATTGACCGTATAATCGTTGAGTGATGGAAACGGGATATGAGTGCTGGATGAAGGTGGCTGTGGTGGTGGAGGTGGTGATGGTGATGGTGTATTTTCTGATGCCATTGTTGATGACTCTGTTGAAGCAGCATGAGGTGACCAAAACTTGTAAGTAGCACAATCCGTGCCTACAATGGTCCATACAGCAGCATCCGACACATCTTCGCACCAAAAGGCACCCAAACTCATGCTGTTATTACTTGTGGATGAAGATGATCCTGTACTTCCAACACTGGCCACTGACATACGACGTCCACGTCTCGGCTCTTGTTGATGTCGTGCTCGGAAAAATGAATCGTCGCCGAGACTATTGACTCGACGTCGAAACATGCTCATTTCATCATTGCCATTGTTGTTGTTGCTGAGTGGATCGTTAAAGAATGCATGATCTGTTGACACGCGTCGTTTTCGAACCACCTTGCCTTCTTCTTGTGATGTAATATCATGCCATGGATGATAATAAGGTGATGATGATGAGGGGGAGGATGTATCAGTGGCACCCATAGCTGCTGCTGTTGCTGCCATAAATGAATTGGGTTGTTGCGTCGTTGGTATGGAAACGGGTTTGCGTGAATCAATGGTCTTGTGCATGCCAACCATGTCATTTAAACAAGCAAGGTACGTAATAGGGTGCGTTGATCGTGGCATCATCCATCCATTGGGCGAAGTTGGATCCCCCATACTATTCAGAGCGGCTTGTTGATGCTGATGAGATACTACTGCTTGTGAAGGATCTTGTACAATTTGTAAAGCAACCTTGTGTAACTGAGATACAGGATCACCCAATGCTTCATCACCATATTCACCGCCACCTGCAGCAGCACCACCGGCGGCATGACCCATACCATCAGGACCACAACGTGCTCCACCCAACACGGTTGATGCTTTGTCCACTTTTCGGATGATCATGACAGGACTTACAAGACCCGTCGTAAGGCATTGTAATACAATGTGCTGGTTGTAATGAATGGCCAATGGCTGATCGCCTGTGTTTCGCATGGCAATAGCAGGGGGTGGCGGATAGGCAATGTTGCTGTTATGCGTGATGGATGAAGCACCACCGCCAATGTAAGCTTCGGGTGATTCATTTTCTTGTTGCTGTATTTCACCAGGTGCTCGAGTCGTATCCACAATCCAAATCACAAAGGGATCCCAACTCGTTGTGCGCGCCACAAAACACGTGCCTTCCTTGTCACCACCACCGTTGCCACCCGTTTCATTGTATCCAGGTACTGTGAATGCTGCATTACCACATTGTACACCAAGGTACTTTGTTGACACGGTCTGCGAGCGTATACGGTTAAAGAGGGACACCGTGGTTCCATGGTGAATGCATACTTGAAACATCTTGGCTTCATCAGTCATCCATCATCCTATATCACTCACTCACACAAACATCCATTTCAACTTACGTTCCATATTCTTGACGCTTTGACGTTTCTTGCTAGGTTTGCTAATGACCTTAATCCCCTTGCTGGCCAATGTCCCCAATACATTTCCACCAGTTTGGATCCGTACAAGACATTCAACTCGCTTTCGTTTCTCGTCCGCATCATTAATGTAGAGATTCTTGGCGACACAACGTCCTGCAGCCACTGGTTCCATATCATGATTATGTTGCCAATCAACTCCGCTCGTTGTTGCTGTCATGCTGTTGCTACGGAAACGATTTGCTGCTGCTGCTGCTGCTGTAGCGGGATCAGAACGTGAATTGGGAGGTGATGTGGTGGTGGGCGATGTATTTGTTTTAGGATGATGATGTTGCTGCCCTGTTTGACCCAATGTTTTCCCTGTAGTCGAATACCATTCCACTTGACCGGTTTGACTTGTAGCTTCACCCGAAATACACACTGTTAACGATGGTGGCGAATGCTCCAAACGATCATGTTCATTGTATCCTTTGTTCCACCACGATGTGCCAACGAGAATCGCTGTAGGAGGAGGACATAGAAATCTATATAGCATTATTGTTAATGCATGATGAAACAAAAAGCATCCTATATAAGCGCGCATTACCTCTTTTCTGTTCCATAGCTCTTTTGAGCAACCTTGCTCGTCATGATGATGACCATCTTTTCACCAGCGGCGGCAGGATCAGGGGACTGCAAGTAACTATTGATGATGGGTCTCAATCGAGCCGCATTGGCATTGTTGTGTAACATGCGTGCTGATGCTGTTACAAGACCACCACTGCCACCAGTGCCTTTGAATTGCCTCGAGATGTCATAGGCTGATGATACAGTGCGTGAATAATCATCCTCTTCGGGAATGGTAGGTGGTGGCAATTGTTGAGTGTTGCTATTGGCACTATTGGGACGTGACCTCAGGGATAGATTGGAAAGACGACCATACATTGGTGATGGTGAAGAGAGAGAACGTGTAGGTGAAAGAGGTGGTGGTGGCGTTGATGTAGTGCTGGTACTTGAGCTGGCAAAGAAATGAAGCGAATCATTATGGCTGTTGGTCCGTGCTCGATCGGGCATCTTTTTAAAGAGGATTAGCTCCTTTCATACATATTACCACGTCATGCAATATTACCATTGTGTCGACTGAAAAGTTGGGAGTAGCAAACTCTGGAAATGTGTGATCATGTTGTGACCAATCTTGTTGCTGCTGCTGCTGGTGGTGATGATGATGCAATGCGAATCCTGCTGAATGTGGATGATGTGGATGATCTTGTTGTTGCATAAACTCATGTTGTTGTGGATGCGGGGATCGATCGTCATCTTGTTGAAGGGATTCAAGGAAACTTGGCGAGAACAAAGAAGGTGTTGTATTGCCAGGTGAATGACGCTGGGTCACTGATGATGCACCTTCTAAAACACCACCTGCTCGTCCTCCTTCACCACTACTATTACTCTGATTGTCACCTCCACCGACCCAAGACTGAATCAAGTGCTGCTGATTGCGTTCATTAAGAGTGGCCAAGTCGGTCAATCGCAATGGCTGATGGCGTAGAGAAGATGGACCACCTGATGACGACGTATTGTTGACGTCTCCTGGATCATGCTGCAGTGCTGGCAACTCAAACAAGGAAGCATGTTGATCGCTGTTACTGGTACGAAAATCATTGCTGGAAGGAAGGAACTCGAAAGAAAGAGGTGATCCTAAATATCATGCAATGTCACATCTCCTGCATACACGCTCATATTCCCAACATTTTTATAGGACTTACCTTGATGATGGTGCTCATCAACTATGAGTGGTGTATCATGAGGATGATCATCGTGTAATAGTGACGAATGCTTGTATTGCTGCGTGTTGCTGCTGCTGCTACTCCATGAAGAAATAGGTGGATATTCAAACGACGTTGTTGGATTATTACCATCGACTGACGTTGTTGTTGTTGTTGTTGTAGGCCACGAATCGCTTGTTGTAAATGATCCATTCCCTGGGTATTGTAAATCCTGCTTGCGTTTTCGACCACTGCCCAGCATAGGCGATGGGATATTGCAGCTGCTGCTATTAATCATGCTACTTGATGGATCCGCGCCAGTGTCGTCTTCCGCTTTGATTGAGTGCTCTGTCATATCGTTCCAACAATAGCAACACCCCTCACAAGCGTATGTATATATATATAAGGGAGTAGAATGCGGTAGAGACTATATGTGTTTGCTGAACCCGATATCAAAAGAGATAAAGTGTATGTGTTTTTTTGTGTGTGCTTAAAATGAAAAGAGAGAGTGAGGGAGAGAAAGAGAAAAGAACAGGCAAAGATTACAAAAAGAGTGCGGGGTAAATGCTTTTGGAAGAGAAGAGAGTGAGTGACCACTGCCCCGCTTTTTCAAACCAACTTTATCTGGTCGCTCTGTGTTGCGTCAAGCCGCGTTCAGTATGGGTATGTTCTATTGCTTTTCTCCTTGTTTACCTTTTATGCATCAAAAGAACAACACAAGCAGTTGTATGTGTGTTGGAGCAATCAACAACTTGTTGAGAAGGGAATTCTGTCAGCAACAAGGATCGTGCGTGCGTGAACAAGTTGGGATTTTCCCGCGTCAACCAAGAATATAGGCTCGGAAACCTCTCGCATTGGTGGTGGTATGTAGGGTGATAGCCGTATCTTATGGAACGGGATCATGCCCGACAACCGTGAGAGTTAAACCTCATCGACATTTGACAAAGCACTTTCCGATCACTGTGCCTTGTGAGAAATTAACAACCCATACTTCCCCCCGCACACCCTTCACCCAATATCCTATTGCCACATCCATGAATACTACTTTAGTGAGAGTGGCTGAAATGCTATGTATGTAAAAGAAGCACAGAATCCATTTAAGGGGGCAGGTTAAAAACGTTGCACAACCATCTACATATGTGGGCGTTGTGTACACACACACGACACACCAATACACACGCACACATACACACGCATTCTCTTCTCTCTTATCCAAAAGAAAACAAACAATTGAAAGACATCATCATCACCATCATCATGGTATGTTTACTCTTGCACACCACCTGTTTATTCTGTCGTGAGAGATGTAAACATGGGTTACCTCTTTCTATGGCCTTTACCGCTGCTGCTGCTAGATCACAAGGACAAAATCATACATTTGTTACCCGTTTGCCCGCCAAAAAACAAAAAAGCATGTACGTTATTCCTTCCCCTATTCTCACACCATGTCAAATAAACCCATGGCACGAGACTTCAACTATTCAAAATGCCTTGATTCTATATGTATGTGTGGAGAAAGAGAACTTGATTTGACCGAGCTTGTGCGACACATATACGTCAATAGGCCTAAAAAGCCAATCATCACCTGGTGTATCACCTGTTCCCTTCTCCTCCCTCAGAACTCTTATTTTGGCTCACGTCGCACGGGCCAATGATTGTATATGTATGCGTGTGTGTGTGTGTGTGTCATGTAAACAAGCATCCACCAGATGTCTTTTTCCAAACGACACGCACCTTGTATGAGCTATAGTGTATACGCATTGCTGTATACGTCCAAATCGAATTCGTTGCTTCTTGTAAATCCGATGACGGGGGATAAAAGGGATGGCGGATGAGTCTGCTGCTGCACATCGATGCACTGACGTTCACACGATGAGATGGGTACACAAAATTCAAAATCGACATGATGCCCCGCGCACATCCATATATGATGAGGATGGTGAAAAAGGGGTTAAACATGCTATAAACGGGAAGAAGAATTACATGACACCATCCCACTGGTCCCCACTATTTTAGAGCGCGCCAAAGTGTGTATCATTTTATGCGATGGCTTTTTTTTCCGATATTACTATTACATGCGAAATCGAAAAGGACCTTATAGTTCAAGCTAAACATGCATCCAAGTGTATACTATTACAGCATGCCATATCCATACGATCACGCCGTTTGTCTCACCCACGCTTACACACACATATACACACATACGCATCATGCGCGCACATCTGTTACTTAAGCAAGGTCACCTGCCCTGAGATACCATATCGGACCCCTTCCACGGCATTCATCACCAACGAAGCAGCGCGCTCATTTCATGTCATCAACCCGGGAAATCGGGCTTGGGAACTTTAGCCCATCTCCATGATATTCTCCCACGTTGTCAATACCTCGATTACACACATTACTCCGCAATGCAGTATTCTTTTCTCGCCGCATACATACATCCATCTGCTGACTGGTCGATCATTTTCAAGCAGTGCAATGGGTATACCGCCGAATGTATTACCATACGAGGGCGTTTGCACGTACATGAAGGCCCATCATTCATAAATTAAAGCGCCTTACTATAATAAACAATACTCATCATTCGCTCACATGCCATCATACGTCGATATGAGTGTGGTAGTCATTACACCTATCCTTATTGACCAGTGTACTACATCATGCAGAATTGATTGATCATTACCTATTGTTCAGTGACAGGTGTGGACGCTAAACCCCTCTCCAGCATTTTCTTTTGTAACATGGCAACATGTTTTTTAGCTTAGCCATTTTAAATGAGTGGTATATTGTTGGTTGATTCTTCCAATGGGATCTTCTACACCATTTATCGATCTACGGGTATTGCAACAATGAAATTGGTGGGCACGTTGATAAGCGTGGTCAAAGTAGATGAGTCGATCCTTTTCAACTCCGCTAGTATGCTCACCTACAGCGCTTGTTGTGGTATAGCGACACGAAAACTGCATACATCTGGTGATGCGAGTACCCTTGTGATGTAAATATCAATACGAAGTGGGTCGTTTGATAATAAAGGTTTCCAACTTCTTGTTCTTCAATAGCAAAAAGAAAAACAACGGGGAAAGAGGCTAACGGGATGTAGGGGTACGTCTGCAGTAAGAATACGTGCATACTTCAAATCATGTTCTATGTAGCTATCCATCCACCTATACCCAGTGCATAGCCTTTTGAGGACTGATGTACGTGACAATAAGATGATGTGCATCATTTTGCACAACGTTGCTATTTCCTTATCCAATGGCAGGCTCTTCTTGCATGATTCATACTCCATGTAAAGCATCATCCATAGTATTGATGTATGTAGTTTGCCTCCAGCGCTATGATCCAATACAATCTTAGATGTGGTATGCTGAGGAATGAAACAAGTGTGGATGTTAGCTCCTGCACTAGCTTCTTCCAGAAAAGTTTAGCTCGCTGGGCTGTAGGTAGTAGCGTGAAGAAGTCTTTTATTTCATGATCAATACACATAAAGAAAATGAACAATGTATAGTACTTGTGAATGAGAAGTTTATAAAAACGGAGGTGATTGTATATGATGCATAGGTTGACTTTGGGTATCATGGAAACAAGAGATGGGTGTTGATGGCACACTGGCTTTCAAAAGACAACCCAGCAGAAGCACGAGCAGCAAGTCAAAAAGACAGCGATAAGTTGTGTGATACACACTTGCAGCGACATCTTTTTTCTCTCTCTCTTTTCCCCCCTTTTACTTTCCTTACAAGTTGTTGCGCCCTCCACGATCTGTCATGGCAGCAGTGCTTCGATTCAACATGCGGTGGATCCTGGCATTGGTTGTTGCCTGCCTTTTGCTTTCCAGTATGATATTTGTACGATTGCGACCAGCGCCGCCAACGCCTCCGCTTCCTGTACGAGATGTCCCTTCATATTGGCCACCACCTGTAGAGAATGCCGTGTGTCGACCCAAAATCTACGTGTATGAAGCGCCGTCTACTTTCCAAGTGCCCAAATCAGTGCAACAGGGACGCTGCCACGAGTCCAACTACAATTCAGAAATCATATTGCACGATCAGCTCACTGATCCCAACAGTGTGTTCCATCAGCTTTATGTAACCAAGAATCCAGAGGAAGCCGATTTCTTCTTTATACCCTTCTTTGGTGCATGCTACTTGTATCATTGCTGGTCTCAAACCAATTGGCGATGGGATGAACGTTGCGAGGTTGACAGCCGATACGTTGATCCAATGATGGATATGGTCATCAATCAATATCCTTATTGGAACGCTACAGGTGGTCGTACACACATCATGACCATGCCCATGGATCAAACCTTCACCTACTATCAATCAAACGAGCGATTTCAGCCTGCCATCTTCCTCAAGACCGTGGGTGATAAACGATCAAAGTGGATGTATCGACACAGGTACCATCATGACATTGTCATCCCTTCTGCTACTCGTATCGTCCATCATCTCGGCATCGATCCACTCAGGTATCTCAATGATGAAGGTCAACCCAAGGTCGGCAAACGTGATATCTTTGTTCTCTTCCATGGATGCTGTGACAGCGTACAAGTCGATGATGAATACTCAAATGGTATCCGCTCACTCTTTTTCAACTACTTTTCACATTACCCTGGATACGAGATTGGTCAAGGCCTCGCAGATGTTGAATACGCTGAAAAGTTATCGCGTGCAAAGTATGGTTTGGCTCCCATGGGATGGACATTGGATACTACTCGGATATGGGAATTCATGGCCTATGGCGTTGTACCAGTTGTCATTGCTGATGGTATCATTGAGCCATTCGAGTTTGACGTTGATTGGGATTCTTTCATTGTACGTGTAAGGCGCGACGAGGTACATCGACTGGATGAGATTTTACGCGGCATTGATGATGCGACATACGAGTACAAGCGACGAAGACTGTGGGAACATGGACGGCGAGTAGGTCTCGAGAAAGATGCATGGCACTATATCGTACGAGAACTATGTCGCATGGAGCACATTGATAAGCCAGAGAATTTAGGTTTAGGATATTGAAAAAAAGTGTAATAGTAATACAAGCATTTCTTTGACAGGGTCATCAACAAACATTTGGATTATATATCAATGATGATAGGAGGGAGGAAGAGAGAGAGAGAGAGAGAGAGAGAGGGAGGTATAATGGGACAACGTGAGCAATTAGAAAAGTGACGTATGGATTGACGCTGAGTATGCTTGTCATTATCAAGGGGTCACTAAGTTCTTGGGACAAAGCGTCATGACGACATGTAGGAAACTCGTATGCCGCTCCGTATTTGACAGAGCGAATGACATTATGTACATGATAGTGTAAAGCACTCACTCACCTCGATTCATGGTTGCTATCCTTGAATTTAGCACGCATTATAATGCATAGCGATGCCTGCCGATCAATAAACCGAGATACTCAGCATGGTACCAAGCCTTGAAACCTTGAAGTTGTAATACAGACCACCTTAATGCTTATAGCTAAGAATTGCTAATTTCAAACACTGTATGATAGTGTCATGATTGAAAGTGTACTTGCGCGTGTATGCCTTTGTGTCACTGTATCGTCATACAACGATGAAGTGTGGCGCTTGCATCAATATCGAGCTGTAAAAGGTGGGGAAACAAAGCAAGGCGGTTTATCTATCGAAGCCATCTTATAGCAGGAAATTGCAACGTCTATAGTGGAACAGCCAAAGACTCTGCAAGTCATGCACAACAATGGTGCACCTATCCTGCTCATAGTTTAACAAAAGGGCTAGCAAGTTGTTGTATACGTACATTTGGTCCCGCGATATCCATCAAATGGGTACATATGGAATTGACTCGGCATAAAGCCACTGCTACACATTGCTTGCATCATTGCCTCAGTTATCATTGTTCACCGATCACAATGGTATTTAAGCGATTTACATTTAATGATTGATACGAGTTTTCATTGTCATCAACAAAGAATCAAAAAATGCGATATCCATCTTTCGTCTTTGTCACCGTCGTTCTTGCTTTTGGTAAGCACATTATCTATTCTATCTACATTATGACATTGGTGTATACACCACGTGTTAACCTCTATGGCTGTGCCCCGTACATTAGTAAATGTTGCACTGAATGCCAACGCCCAGCAGTATAGGGATTGTGCTTCAGGCCTCTCAAACATTAATAGCTACGTGAGTAGTGTGGAATCCCGAGTTAATGGTTGGCAGCCTTCTGACGGCTATGGTGCTGCCCTTAAAGTCCACACAACGGAGCAAAAGCTCGAAGATCTTATCGTCGAAACAACGAGTACATGTGACCTTGGAGGGCAAACATCGTCAAGCCATGCAGACACCATATTGGGTGAAATGGATTCCCTTGTTCCCAACATTGAGAATGCGCTTAGGGCAGTGGTTCAAAAGAAACCTGCCTTTGACTCTGTGCCGTTGGTTACTCGTTTAGTGACCGCTGATGTACAGAGCCTATTTGTCAAGACTTATTCGTTGGAAAACAAGTTGCTCGCTGCCATGCCTGATTCAAGAAAACAAGAGGCCACCGAGTATGTCAACCGCATTAACTACGCCTTTTCGGCAGCATACCACGCTTATGGTCTTTACTAGCAACAATGATATTGGATAGGGGTTCTCCTCCCGTATAGTAATAAAATAACTATCTTACAAGATCACAAAAGAGAATCGTGTGCTACGACGTTGTTGAAAAGATTTTATCACAAAGCAAAGGGAAATGGGTTATATTATCGACTACAGCCATCAAGACACAATGAATCAATCAGACCCCTTTCATCCCCTTCCTTTATCATAGCAATCACAAGTGGATATACTGCATTTGTCATAGCATCCATCTTTCTATAATACAATGCATTAAATGCCTTCATACGATGAGATCCAACTCAAAAAGGATGGGCTCATGCTATAGAACCCTAGAAATGGATGGCCAACGCTATGTCGTAGTCGCTAAAGTAGCCCTTTACTGTAATCCAACGTCATTCACAAGCGATAGATTCATGAGAAGTGTAATGAATGAATTTAGTGGGAGAGATACATCGATTAGGAAATCTTCTATCCTTTGGGCGTGCATTGTGCTAAGATGGATAAGAAGCGGCACTTGATGCGTGATGGTGAATTACATGCATGTGCAGTTGGGTGATGATGGTTGTACTTGGTTGACATGTTGCACAAAGGATGCTAATTGTAGCTGCCATGGAATAGCGTGTAAGATATGCTCCAATCGTTCAGGATCACAACATCAAGCATTATGGTCAAGTTGACAATGGATGCATAAGAACAAGGCTCTTTTCGCATGCGTTGTATATATCCAATTCCTTCCATCCCACATACCAAACCCGATATCCATATCCATATCCAGAAGAAGCCGTATTGAAGCAAGTTGCTACACGTACATAAAGCTGCTTCTATACAATGGCTATCTAATATCCACGTAAAAAAGGCTGTGGGACAAGTTGCTGCAAGTAAAAAACGCTGTTTGAGACAATGAAGTAAAGGTATTGCTAATAACAACTGCTGGAATGAATGCTGTTACTTTGATTGTGGTAGAGGAGTGTACAAGAGCGTGTGTTGTGTCAAGAGACTCGTGTGTTGTAGTGTGCTGTTGGAGAACGACGCATGTCTTGGGTGGATGAAGAGATGATAGTAGTGATTATATGACATGGCTGTTGTGTAATGGATAAAGCTGATCAACATGCTGCTGCAATATTACGCAAGAAAGACATCCCCTGGAAGTAGTTGCTCGTTGTCACCAAGCTTGAAAAAGAACCCGAGGCGCTAGTTTCTTTGCATGTTCGCGGCACAACGCGTAAAGAATGAGTAGGGCAAGGTGCCATGTACGTGCTGTCATCGTTTGAGAATAAACCGTAGCGAAGAAGTTGCTGTGGATGTCATTGTCCAGTGGAATGAAATGCAGATGAAGAGAAGAAGAGTAGACGTGAAAGGGATACCCAAATTTTGCTCTGCCCAACTTGCCTTTTTCACCGCCTGATGGAGAACTCACGTGATAAATGGTATGATCAAAAGCAACCTTCAACGTTGATTGATTGCAAAGAAAGCCTTGTCCATGGTATTGTCTTGACATATGCTGTAGATTATCCGTCATCTTCCCCACATCAAAGTATAGCTATTGGAGTACTGTTAGTGAAGCTCATGAATGCGTAATAAGTATATAAATGACAAGGTGGCAAATTAGCTTCCATGGAAACCCATGTACTGACAAGGATGGCCACGCGAAGGCTTTGCCGTCACCCTCTCCCCTACGGTGCACCAAGCCGGATAACGGGGGCTGCCATTGTAAACAACAGCATCTTCTATAGGTGCTGCTCGAGCCAACATGTTCGGTCTGATAAAAGGATAGCATCCCACGCCCACAGAGGCCGACCCATAAGAGCGAAAAGCAATACATGATCCCATATCTACCACAAGGACACTGAGTAACAGTCTAACTTCCAACGGCTAAGGCAGTAATCCTCAAATGCAATTGATAGGGCCATGATAGGGCTGACCACACTGTCGCAAATGAATCATAGCTGCCAACGATGCTTTACACAAAAGAGTAAGGCACCATCCCGTTCTACCCATAGCAAATAAACATCCGCCATATCAGTAGTAGCTGCCATCAAGCGACCTTCTTGGGTAGGCGTCATGAGAGACACATCATGCACTGCAACAAATAAATCCGGTCTTGATGAAATAGCACACACGAGAATATTCACTTGTAAGAGAACGTCCAAGGTATCCATACAAGTACTTGAGGAATGAGATCCGCCATGGCACCGATAAAAACATTGCTCTGAGGATCCACCGATAAAGAGACGACTTGCAGATAGCTGATTTCCAAAACCATGGAAACGGTATCCTTGACAACCACAACTATAAGATAGAGATCGCTTGCTTGCTTCTGAGACACCCACCCAAATTCAAATGTTGATCTTCGTCTTCCAATTCAATAGGATTCGCCATTGACAGCTGTAAGGAGAGACTTTGATGGCACCAAAGAGCATGCGAAATTATAGCTTGATGGAATGATGGGCCTATAAAACTGCATATCACTAATTTATCTTTGAGGTAATGGTAACAATACTTAGCCAGTGTCATATGAGAATCCACGATGTTTGATGCCACCCAGTAATCAGAACACATTTCCTTGCTGTAGAGATGTCGACACAGTGACCAACCCTGATAGCCGTTTCTTCAAGTGATACTTGATGATGAATGTCATGAGAGATGGATACACCTTGACAGCACCAAAAGGACACGTAACATTGTTGTTTGTTGCTGATGTGATACATCCATAAGACACGTGCGGTGAAGAGCGCTCTTGAAATCAATTGGCCAAGAACGAGAACACCAGAGGATCAAATAAATGATGCTGACACTAAAGATGTGGGCTCTGTTGCTCATTGCTGCTTCTTGCTTGTAGCTGATATGATCCACCGATAACAGGCATGCCTAGCAGGATATCCATTGAAGGGTTGTCAACAACTAGGACCACAATAAGACGAGATAAAACTTGGCGACACCAAAAGGTATCGAACTTGTTGCCTTGCCGCTGCAGACGCTTATAAAAGGAAGTTTCCACTAGGTGGTACAGTAACGACAACCATCGAACGATGTAATAAGGCAAGCTGACACTGAAGGATGCTGTCGACGTTGCTCTTTGATCTGCATCCATGAATATTCCAAAGGACCAAAATACAAGCAGCTTACTGAATATCCCACATACTATAATAATAGAAGAGGGGGTTGGTTGGGATTGGAGCCAAAAAACGGATCATCCACTACTTACCAATGAAAGCCATATGAATAAAACCCTGTGGACATCCAATGACAGCTGCATCCATCAAGAATGCAAAGGGAACACGACAAGTAGTTCGCTGAATACCCCACATGAATTAGGGTGTTAGTAGGCATTGAGAGAAAGAATGGGTCATTATTTACCAATGACAGCTGCATCCATAGAAATCCCAATGCACCAGAAGACAAGTAGCTTGCTGAATAGCCCACATACTACAATAAAAGAGGAGGTTAGCAGGCGTTGAAGAAGAGAAGGGATCACTATTTACCAATGATAGCCATACGCATGAAAAAATGTCGACATCCAATGACAGCTTGATCCACAGCAATCCCAATGCACCAGAAGACATGCAGCTTACTGAATATCCCACATACTATAATAATAGAAGAAGGGGTTGGTTGGGATTGGAGCCAAAACACGGATCATCCACTATTTACCAATGATAGCCATACGCACGAAAACATGTCGACATTCAATGACAGCTTTATCCATGAAAATCCCAAAGAACCGGAAGACAAGTAGCTTGCTGAATCTACCAGATACTAGAATAAAAGAAAGAGGTTGGCAGGCGTTGTAGAAACGAATCGATCACTATTTACCAGTGATACCCATGTATGCACGAAAACATGTCGACATCCAATGATAGCTGCGTCCATGAAAATCCCAAAGAACCAGAAGACAAGTAGCTTGCTGAATAGACCACATACTACAATAAACGAAAGAGGTTGGCAGACGTTGTAGAAACCAATGGATCACTATTTACCAATGATAACCATATGCACGAAATCTTGCTGATATCCAAATCAAGCCGATTCTTTGCAATCGTCCGCTTGTTGATAAGGCCCGCTACGGTGGCACTCGGCTCGAAAGCGATGGAACGATACTTTATGGACGTATGCAGTGAGAAGATTGAGTAATATTGATACCACCAAAGGAGCATACTTACATGATGCCGAAGAGCCCTTACAAAGAGAGACAACG